ATTGTCATTAAAACTGAATGTGTTTACGAAATATCAGATCAATATGTCAATAGGAAGGAGGTCAAACTAAATTTGATCCAAACAAACAGGGCAAGCTAAATAAAACCATTTAAAAAAATACGCCCATTTGTAAAATACAATCAAAGGAATTCAAACAATTGCAGCGATGAAAATCTATGTTTGGAGATATATCGTACAATCAAGATCCAACAGAAACCAATTCATCAATCGAATGAGACAAGCAGGAAGCTTCCCTGACATGACATAAAAACTACTTCAGTTGTTCGAAGGTCGAAGGTCAAGGGATATCAATAAATCCTGTGAAAGGGGCGAAACACAATGGTAACACACCGTGACTGGAACATCCGAGGAGGTTTCCTTTCGTTTGTAATAAAATCCAGTAATTCTTCTGTTGGTAGAAAAGTTGAATAGACTAAACTTGATAAGAAATTTGGACAACATTTTCAAGTAAAATGTATTTATAAAACTTATAAATAGACAAACATCGCTTTCAGCAATCTAAGAAGCCGACTGGGGATGTGACTTGAGATGTACGGCGTGACAGAAATGATATCCATGAATGTGGCTATCTTTGTAAGTCATCGTTTTAAACTTTCAATAGCTTCGCGGATTATCCTGGCCTGGAGAGTTTTTTCGGTGGCAATGGTTTGGATGTTTTCGAAGCTTATTGTGTGTCCTGTTTCACGATGATGTTTGAAAAAGGATGAGACTGGATCTTATTTTGTATATGCCCATCATTGGGTATCGTTTCCTTGGGTGTTCGTAAACTGTTACTGTCACGCCGCACATCTCATAGCACTGCACACCTCGCTTCTGCAAGTCACATCCCTGTTCACATTATCATCTCCACCCTCGCTCCCACTACTGATCCGCCTCTCCACTTGTCCAGGGACATAAATAACAGACCAGAGCAACAGATTTACAAGTCCTGAAGGTAGTAGACTATGCGACAGAAGATTTCAACCTGGGCAAACGATACCACACCGGAGCGATTTTCTTAGACGTCTCCAAGACGTTCGACAGAGTTTGGCATGACGGACTTCTGGCCAAAATGAGCAATTTTGGCTACCCGAAACAGATGGTATACACCTCTTCTCGGTATACACAGTAGACGTGTCCAAGCCTGAGAACAACTTTAACAAGACAACACTCAACGACACAGCTCAACTGGTGAGATCAACTAGCCATGCGCAAGTTACCAGATACTTGCAACAGCGGGCGAACAGATTAGAGGATTATGCAAACCTTTGGAACATCAGTATAAACCCTGACAAGAGTCAAGCGATACCGTTCACCCGGAGGCGGGCACACCCGGAAGGAAACGTCACCTTCAACGGACAAGAGATTCCGTGTACCAACGAAGCTAGATATCTGGGTGTCACCCTAGACAAAATATTAACATTCAGGTCTCACGTAAGGCAAAGAAGCAACATGGGGCTGAAAATGAAGCTGCTGATGAAAAAGACCGTACTACTACCAATATACCTGTATGACTGCACTGCCTGAGGCCAGTGCGTAGCGGCATACAGAAGACAGATCCAGTCGTTTACGAACGCGGGCTTAGGGGCTGCCGTAAACGCTCCAATATCGGTACCGAATAGGTACATATTCCGGAATCTAGACCTGAATATACACTACGTAAAACCATATATGAGACAACACGCAGAAGACGCGTTTGACAGAATTCGAACGCACGACAATCCAGCGATACGCGATCATTAAACAGGGAATACCCCCAGATTCCGAGAGAGAGGAATATACAGAAGGTGGAGATTTGGAGTAGTGGAGATTTGGTTGTTGGCTGTGAATACTGTCTTCACGTTATGTTTCTTCAGAATTCAGCTCACTTTGTCAGTAACTCCATGGATGTAGGGGAGAAAAGCTTTTGTCTGGTTGGTCTGTTCCTCAGGTAACTCGTGGGGTGGGGTGTGTGTTTGTTGTCGTTGGATGGATCTTTGTATTTGGGAGACGGGATAGTCGTTTTGGTGAAGTGCGGCTGTGAGTTCATATAGTTTCCTAGATCTATTGTGGTTGTCAGTGAGTCTTATAGAACGATGTATGAGGGAATTCAGAACGAAATTCAGCTGGGCAGGATGATGATGGGACTTGGCATTGAGGTAGCGGTTAGAATGGATAGGTTTTCGGTAGACCGTGTGTGAGAAGGAATTGATGGACTTTGTGATGAGAACGTCCAGAAAAGGGAGTGAGTTATTATTTTCAACTTCCATTTTATGAACTTTAGGCCGGGGTGTAAAGAGTTGATGTGGTTCAGGAATGCATGAAGATCGTCGGATCCATGGGGCCATATAACGAAGACGTCATCCACGTATCGGAGCCAATACGTGGGTTGAGATTATACGTGTCAATGAATCTGGTTTCGAAGTCCTCCATGTAGAGGTTTGCAAGGGCTGGAGAGAGAGAAGAACCCATCGAGGCGCCTTTGACTTGTTTGTAGAATTTGTCCCGGAAACGGAAATATGTGCTGGACATGCAGTGGCTGATGAGGTTGATCGTATCTTGTGGAATTTGATGTTTCGTTTTGAGAAGGGACAAAGTATCGGATACTAGGATATTTGTGAAAAGGGATGCTGTCAAAGCTAACGAGGATGTCTGTTTGTTGAATATTGAAGGATTGCAGAATTTCTATGCACACTTGCAGATTAACGAATGTGTGAATACCAGAAATATTTTTGTTTGTCTTATTTCTTAGGGAAATCTGCGAAATCTGCGAAATTTTGAGCTTGCTTTTTGTGTTTATTTTTTGTGATGAATAAAATATTTCAAAATGAAGTTTTTGTTACCAATGAAAAATTCAAACCAATATATGAAATTTTCAATAAGAAGCGAATATGAATGAGACCTCATGAATGAAAGTCATATGGTGACAGGTTTTAATCGCATCAAATAGCCAAGTAAGTGAAATTGATCATTTGGAACTTCACAGTGTGACGAAAAAACTGCGTACAATGAAAATTAATGTGACAGCAAACCTCCAGATTTATGAATATTCAATGTGAGACCATTTGGACTCACGCGGCTCCGTTATACCAATTTGGCGCGAGGCCAGCTGGTTCCATACGGCACTCAACGTTCTAATAAAAGCTGAAAATGATTGTTGAAATCAATCGGATTGCGAATGTTTTGTTACCATCTGTTGAGCGTATACGTAAAGGAACATCTGATGGAGACAATTGATGGTGGCTTTAATTTTTGCAGAATGAACATTTTTGGTATGGTACGATTTGAGACTTGTACACTGTTGACTCAATATTGTGTTATCAAGTTTTGATACAACTCGAGTATGCGTATTACTCCTGAAATCTTCCGAGCCATACGTTCCTTGGTAGTCATCGTAGTTATTGCCTTTATATGAGGCATTTGATAGAACGTAATTATTTTCATCATCCAGGCATTCGTCATTAATCAGTGTATTTCCATATGAATGAAATATCCACTCTTTTCTTTGACGAGAAAAACTCCATCACATATAGAAGGAAACGGATACGAGTATCATTTTTTTCATCACTATTGATATTTAAAACATTTTGACTTGTCCTTCAGTCCATAGTAGATACTCAAAACTGCATTTTCAGTTCTTCCCATCTTTTTCTTTTAATTTAGGGAAGTAAATCATTTTGATTGAAAGTAATACAAATTATGAAATTATGAAACAACAAAAATTCCAATGACGCATGTGCTTTTTCAGCTGCAGGAAAACCCGGAAAAACCTGCAGCACCACATCATCATCTTGATCTGCTAATGTCCTCTCTTCCATAGAATAAAATATAGGATGTCTCCAAAGGCTCCAATAAATTCAAGATATTGCCAGAATATTTAGGAAAGTTTATTCGAGGTTTGCAAGATCATTTCACCACAAAAAACAGAACCGCTGAACTATTTTTCGTATCACGAAATCATTGCCAAACTTTCAACAATTTTTCAGAACATTCAGAATAATTAATTTTCCGCTGGTGTTGGTAGACCTAGGATGACAAGCGAAAAAAGCGAGGGTTCTATCGAATAACATGAAATCCTGCGAAAATTGAGCCAAGCCAAAGTGTATGTCGAGGTCAGCTCATTCAATATAGAATCCAAGCCGTGACCTGGTTAAAAATCCATTAAATTACTACTATGAACATGTTATTTATAAATCGTAGGCCGTTATTCAGAAGAATGCTTGTAATTTTCACGAGAGATTAAGAAAAAAAGAAATACTGTAACTCAGAAGTTCTTGAAAGGGAATCATTTAGATTTTACGTAAAGGTAGTATAATCGACCAAGGTCGTGCAAAAAATACATATTCCAAATCAGTACAAAGTGCATGTGATACGATTGTACGATGATGACTGATCGACGAGTTCAATTTTGTGAGACAGTTATGAAACTTTTCACATATAGTCAGTGGGCATACTTAAAGACTGGCTATAAATCAAACCATCTAAAAGAACAATTCATTCAGGCCAGTCTCAACTCCCTACACTGTAGGTTGATGGACTGACACCTATCAGAAAACAACTATTCCCCTGGCTAACACCGCGAAAGGCGTTGGATTATATCTGACAGGTGTCATTTTCAATTATTGGAACACACTTGCAGACCAGTTTCGGGCTGTTTGGCCACTCATCGGTGCAAAGTATTGTCTATCATCAATATAAAGTCGATGATTTCCGATAATTGAAAATCGAATTCCTTCAGAGTATCATTCCTTGAACTAGGCTGAAGCGGACAACAAACAACAGGTTTATAATCAGGATGTAATCCAACGCCCTTCACTGTATTATCCAGGGGAGTAGTTGCTTTTTATATGTAGTTAGAACTTAATACTGTGATTTTATTTGAGGTTGCAGTAATAAAGACGTTTATTATTATTATTATCATTTTATTCAAATTCATATTGAAAGTATTACATGTTTTCCTCAGAAAATTATTTTCGATATTGTACAATGTAATTTTATTCCACGATAATACTTTGTTTCAGATAAAAAAACGCACAGATCGCTTCAGCATTCAATCTCGCCCAGTGGCGGGTATCATCCACCAAAACGATTCAGTCTTTGATATATTTCGTGCGCTTCGTGTGGGAGGCCGTCAAGCTGAAGCACGACAAGGAATACGACCTCCTCATACTCGACTACGATCCCCTGATGGAAAACACAGAGACCGAAGACGAAACGGGTTGGAATTGCAGCGTCCATCCCAGTGTCTTTTTTCTTTTAGGTAACGGAGATTTTCCTTTTAGAAATGTCCAAAGAATATGACTGCAAAATCACGACCATAAAATATAAATGCACGCTGAATTAATTTCGACAAATTATTTTCCAAAAATTGTTTTGATTTTGGGACGGAACGCAATGAACAACAGAATTAATTAAATGAATTTAGAAGTTTATTATCACATGACAAAAACATTTTTGAACGCTTCTTTGAAAGCGGTTGACAATGTTTCATGGTAAATTTCATTAATTCGGACTTCCATTGTCTAACATGATTCGAAATCTATGAAAAAACAAATAAAATTGGAATGAATAGCTGAAGTATCAATCATATCAAGCAATAAAACGTGAAATAAAAATACAACAAAACAATACAACAAGATACAGAATCGAAATGACCACAGAATATAAAGATTTTAAAAACATTGAAAATAGGCAAAAAATCAGAAATTGTCGCATTGCTGAACACAAAAAAAACACACAGCGAAGAGAAACCAGCAATTCAGTAATAGCAAAGCACGTTTGGACTCTAACATAACATCAATTGGTCCCAAGATGGGATTATACACAAAGAGAAACACTGGTTTAAGAGGTAGATCAAAGAAGCTGCATATATATTGTCCAACGACGCATTCAGCCAAGCGAGCGTAGAGATACGCAACATATGGAAACCTGTAATCAATCGAAAAAACGGTCAACTCCCGCAAAACCGGTGAAGCAAGGAGAGGGATAGGTGGTCATTTTCATTTTGTATCTTGATTATTTAATTCGTTAAGTTGTAAAAACTGATTTAGTGTCATTACATTCCTCAAAGGTGTTGAGGCTTTATGTAAATAAGCTTATCCTCTACCCATAAACAAAATTACCTCAATATCAAACTCACTTTTCTACCATTGTTTATAGAACCCGCTATTTCCAGTTGGTCAATGTGGAAGTCCTTCAATATTCCACACTAAAAGCACAATTAGAATGTTCAAATTTTTCGTTTAACTCATCTAACTCACCTTGATCTTGACCATTTAGGACAGTTACTTTTATAAAATACAAGCATTTCTACTTAGAAAATTTTGAGTCAAATACGGTATCAGATACATCATTTTCTTGGTAATTCAGTATGGACTATTTTTTTTCTGATTGGATTCATTTCTTACACTAATTTTCTACGCAACAAGCAACAATTAACCCTCAAATACAGATCTTCGAGTGCTCCTGAGTGTATCACCTGTAATACTGAATGTTTCCGCTGCCCTAATTGGGCAGTAACCAAAGAATCCGAATAAAGGTGTACAGAGGGGATGGGGGTGGACTGTCCTCCCTGTAATATCAAATCAAGAGCAAGAGCTTCTCAGTTCTCCAACTCTTGATCCTGTTGAAATCTAGGAGATCAGGTGGTGCAGATGAAAGTCACCTTATTGCCTCCTCAAAAGCAGATAAGATATTTCAATATGCTTTGCACTAACTTCTTGAGCAGCAGACCTCCTCCGACCAGGTCAGCAGAAGCCAACACTCAAATGACAGTTCACCCAAACCAGAAACTCAAAACCCTTGCTTGGTTGAGTCCAATTGGTATACGTGACGTACAGATGCTCTCAATGGGTATGTTGCTGCAGGCATCAAGGTGGGAATCTTGCACCTTGAACATCCGACAGCCTCAATACCGACCATTCAGCTGGAATATCTTCAGTTAGCCTATATTCAGTGTAGCCATCTATTTTAGACCTTTTAAACTGAACCAGTGTGAAGGCAGTCATGGGTTTCAGCCACGAATTGGGGGAATTTACCATTAATGGAAAGGAGTGCGCCAAGCCACTAGTGGTCGTTTAAATTCATTGCTAGCTATGAAAAGTTGTCTTTTATAAAAATTATTTCATGGCCAGCCATAGAAATTTTCACATGAAACGATAGTTTTCAACGTTTTCAATAACACCTTTACAGTTCTCGATTTTGTCGCGGAAAAAACATTCCCCGACACTCCTTCCATCATTTTGATTGAAAAAATCATATCTTTTGAAAAAATTGTGCTGCTGGCGATATTTTCACATAAAACGAAAGTATTCGGCGTATTCTATGATACTTACATAGTCCTCGATTTTGTCGCGGAAAAAACATTCCCCGACACTCCTTCCATCATTTTGATTGAAAAAATCATATCTTTTGAAAAAATTGTGCTGCTGGCGATATTTTCACATAAAACGAAAGTATTCGGCGTATTCTATGATACTTACATAGTCCTCGATTTCGTCGCGGAAAAATACACCACCTGCAATGCCTTCAATTATTTTGATTAAAAAAAATCATATCTTTCCAAAAATTTATGCGGGAATATTTTTACGTGAAACTGTCGTAGTCAGCGTATTCTGTAACATCGATACTGTTTTCCTAAGTTTAACAAATATGAGTACGGTAAAGTATGAGGCCTAAACCACTTTGAATAAATGTCAACAAGTCAAAATATTTGTTAATTAACAAAAATATTGCCATAATAAATAATCGTTGATATTTGAAAAAATATTTCAACAGTATTTATGCATAAGAAAATAAAAATAATGGAAAGGGTTACAGGGGGTGTACTTTTTCGCGACAAAATCGAGGACCATATAGGTATCATAGAATACGCCGAATACCTTCATTTCATGTGAAAATATCCCCAGCAGCACAAATTTTTCAAAAGATATGATTTTTTCAATCAAAATGATGGAAGGAGTGTCAGGGAATGTTTTTTTTCCGCGACAAAATCGAGGACTGTAAAGATATTATTGAAAACGTTGAAAACTATCCTTCCATGTGAAAATTTCCATGGCTGGCCATAAAATTATTGTTATAAAAGACAACTTTTCATGGCTAGCAATGAATTTCAACAACCACTGGTGGCTTGGCGCACTCCTTTCCGTTAATGGTAAATTCCCCCAATTCGTGGCTGAAACTCATGGCTGCCTTCACACTGGTTTCAACTGCAAACTCCAGATGCTACTAAAAAAAATGCGTACCGACTTAATTGTATTTATTTCCATAGAGCATTGAATGTTGGAAGATGATTTATAACCTGGACTCATTTCAAATCTATACATAAAAACCATATTTATTTTATTTTTATCGTTGGAATAAAACCATATAGCTACACAATTCCTTAGATAAAGTTCATCTATCATTTCTGATGATTGAATCATCTCACTCAATCGGAAAGGGTGAATATCTAAAATGTTAATAGTTCACACTCGAATACAAGATTTTCACGTTTCCTTTTCATTTCAGGTACTCTAGTATTATCTACATGTGCTACAGGTATGCTGTGTGCTGCCATTATGACAGATCACTGGGAAGAGGTGACCTGGGACAAACCTACTCTTGATTATTTAGCAAACAGTACGGTTCGTCTTCAGTGGCTTTTAGATAACACCGTAGCTAAGGTTACAACAAACGACTTGAAGAGTAGAACCATAGCTTACTTAGTGCCAATGCATGGTGGTATTTGGACACTTTGCGTCAGCTTAACAGGTATGATGATTAATGATCAAAATCCTGGAGATGAGAACTGTGTAGACAACTCTGTTTCAGCTTTTTGGGGCATCGTAGTACCGGTACTGACTGGTTTTCTTTGAAAACTTTTGAAATTCAAAACGTAACTTTCAGACCTCATAAACATATAAATAATTCGGAAATAATTGTGAACGTGTCCAATGATTCGATAAATTTTTAGCTAAATTGAAACGAACATCAAACACAACAAAGTAATTACCATGAGGAATATATGAGCGAATTCACATCTACTGTAAATGAGCAACAATTTTCAGAAAACTAGATTCCGAAAAATAAAAAACCGTCCAGTGTAAAGCGTACTACATAATTAAATTCCAATTTTGTGTTCCCGTCGAAATTACGCAACAAATCGTAAAATGCAAATTGACGAACAACCTACAGAGTTGTTGAATCCATGAGATTATAATGCTAACGATTCAAGTTTCATCAGAGGATTCCAAACTTCCAATTCGTAAGCCAGAAACTAATTGAATAACTTCGTAGGTGGTGACAACAAAACTTCAATTTGCTTCAATTCGAAATAAATATATTCTAGGAGGCCACTGAATCTATTAGGGTGTGTCAAAAATGTCCGTTTTAATGTCATTGTACTCTTATACATTGATGCTGTTCACTTTTTTCTGAATTTCAATGCTTTGTCTCTTTTCAGCTTATTACTATATGATGTTGTTAGGCGATTTTCGGCCAATTTTTCTCTACGAATTCAAATTGAACCGACGCGCTGCCGAAACAGCCCGAAAAATTAACCAGGCATTTAGCAATGATATGTTGATGATCACAATGTTTGACGTTGGTTTGTGAAATTTGGTGGCGGAGATTTTAGCCTTGAAGATTAGCCCCGAAGTGATCAACCAACAGTAATGCAGGACGAGGATTTTAGAACCCTGGTGGAGATTGGCGCACCACAAACAGTGCTTAGGATGGCAGGAGAACTGGGCGTCAGCTCCCATTCGGTTATTGATGGTTCAAAACATATTGGAAAGGTCAAAAAACCCGAAAACTGGATGCCCCACGATTTGAACGATGTACAAAAATTGTCATGTTTCTAGGATCGTTCTTCTTAGCTTTTGCGCAACCAAAACGATGCTGTTTTGGATCGGATCGTCATGTGTGATGAAAAGTGGATCATCTACGACAACAGGAGACGTTCAGGACAGTGGTTGGACAAAGATGAGCAACTCAGGCACTTCTCAAAGACGAAAACCCATAAAAAAAATAGTTATTGTATGATGGTCAGTGGCTGCTGTGACTCACTATAACTTTCTGAAACCAGGCCAAACCATCACAGCAGAGTCCTGAAGAGGCCCGAACCTGCTCCACAACAAGGTCCGTCCGCACAAATCACTGTCCGAAAATTAAACCAATTTAGCGTCGAAGTTCTGCCTCACCCACCATACTCCCCAGACCTCTCGCCAATCGACTACCATCTTTTCAATCACTTCGATAACTTTCTTACTGGTAGAACCTTCGCCAATCAGGACGCGGCAAAAACGGCCTTAGTCGACTTCCCGAGCACCCAGTTTTTATGCTGACGGAATCAATCGACTTGTGTTACGTTGGCTAAAGTGCACGGATTCAAATGGCGCTTATTTCGATTGAATTGTAGAATTAAATTTATATTACAGTTTGAAGTAGACTCATAAAAATATGATATGGGAGAAATAAGCAGCTTCTGGCAAGTATTTTGTTTAGGGGTTGGTTCACAACAGTGAGAACAGAAATAGAAATCTGCAGAATCACTTTGAAGGTTCAAGTCGGATTTTTGTTTAGTGTTGTCTGCAAGTAGGCGGGTATAGTTCAAGTAAACGATATAGTACAACCTACCTTCCAACAGCTCCCCATACTTTTCAGCAATACTCTCAGGGGCATACATTTTTTCGAATGTTTTTCTCTGTAAAACTTCAAGTAGTTGGTGTTTAGTATAGTAATCTTCAAAATACATATCGTTATCCATTAAAAAAATGTTGTATATCATCTTTCCTCGAATTTGAATTTTTATTCGGTACTTTGATGAGCTGTCGCGAATGAAAGGAAGCGTTGTCAAAAACTATCACACTAATCGCATCTAAATTTAGGATATGTGTTTTCAAACCATTCCACGATAATATTAGCTTCCATGTTTTTATGATAGTCAACATTGCAGTCCTCAAGTTTTTTCACATAATTTCAAAGAATTCGGAAACCATCTTTTACTTCCTCCGCAATGCACAATCATTAGTCGTGATCCTTTGTTTGTAGGCATGTTAGGCGTACACATTCTCGAACCATGAGTCCACCCTTTCGTAACTGTGTTATACACCAAGTTTCGTTTAATTAGAAAATTTGTCGTTGTTCTTGTCCATATTTAGTTATTTGTTCTAAGTATTTATTATGCTATTCCGCTATTCTTCTGCATTTCATAACTGCTTGACGTTTGTTTATTATTTTAAATATTAATCCGAGTTTCTTTATCCAAATCTGAAGAGTTTTGTCACTAGCGAACGTTATGGCCGGAAGTATTAAAAATCTTCCTTACGATTTCAGTTGTAGGAATCTCATTGCTTTTGTAATAGTCGTATACTGTTTTTTCAATTATTTTATTAGATAAACATCTGAAAGTTTTGGTAATCCTGTATCACATGGCGTCTTGAGTTCATAAGGTTTGTTTTTGACTATTTTAAGTACAGTTGAGAAAAGTTTTTTTCACATAATTTCAAAGAATTCGGAAACCATCCTTTACTTCCTCCGCAATGCACAATCATTAGTCATGATCCTTTGTTTGCAGGCATGTTAGGCGTACACATTCTCGAACCATCAGTCCACCCTTTCGTAACTGTGTCGTGAGTGTTATACACCAAGTTTCGTTTAAATAGAAAATTTGTCGTTGCTCTTATCTATATTTAGTTATTTCTTCTAAGTATTTATTATGCTATTCCGCTATTCTTCTGCATTCCATAACTGCTTGACGTTTGTTTATTATTTTAAATCTAAATCCGAGTTTCTTTATCCAAATCTGAAGAGTTTTGTCATAGCAGCGAACATTAAGGCCGGAAGCATTCAATTTCTTCCTTACGATTTCAGTTGTAGGAATCTTATTGCTTTTTTAACAGTCGTATATTGTTTTTTCAATCATTTTATTAGATAAACATCTGAACGTTTTGGTAATCCTGTATCACATGGCGTCTTGAGTTCATAAGGTTTGTTTTTGACTATTTTAAGTACAGTTGAGAAAATAATTTCCGTCAAATCTGATGTTGCTTGTAATAGTTTTGTTTCCCTCGAAACCAAACTTGAGAGTTATATTCTTATATACATTGAAACATAATCTCTGTGTTTCAATATTCAAACGCATCCAAATCTTATTCACTGGTATCTCTTTTTCGCATTGTTCACCATTGCTATTGGAATCACTACACTGGAAAATGTCTGCATTGCTATCACACTCGTTATTACTATTGATACTTGTCCAAGGACGCCACATTTTAAACAGATAACAAAAATTTTAAGTAATTATAACTGCACCGATATCGAATTTCAACACTCAAATGGCGATCAGTTCCTGAACTGAACATTGACGACACAACGGAGATAATCATCCTCGTATTCCCTGATTTCTATTCGTCACCGTAACATGACTTCAAATTTAATGTTATGACTCTTCAGCCAATCATAAAACTCGGTTAGTATTAATTATCCAATAGGAACCGCCAAGTCTACAGTGCACGTGGACTATTTTGCTGCCAGTTCATTTCTATGTATTGGTTTTATTAGCCCTTTGAGGGTTTTGCCAACTTTAAGAGTGCACAATATCGTTTACTTCGACTATACCTACCTATTTAAAGATGTCGTGAACATTCTTTTGATCAGTGAATTTCTTCAGAGTTCATCATTATCAGATACAAGCTGATGCAATACTACTGAAAAAATGCCCCTTGCGAAGCCGGGGTGGACGCTAGTTTCAATAGTCTTGAGAAAAGAGGTTGATTCAATACTTACAGTTTATAATTTGCAAATGAGGCATTTAGCCAAGTACGGCCCTGTCTTGATGAAGGAATGTTATGTTTTTAAATTTATCCTGGTAGATGAGATAAAAAAAATAAGAAAGTAGCGAATTATACTCTAGCGGCATTGATCCGATAACATAAAGTTTATCGAATGCATGAGAAAATCAATTTAGTATCAGACATCGCAAGTTTTTCTTGCTAGATTGTAGATTTGAAACGAAGATTATTCCTCTCTGTGTTTTAATTAAAATCCATGTTGAATATTCATTATGATTTATAATAGAAAATATATATGTAGAAAAGAAAATTTAACCTACGATGTAATATCGGTTTAACAAAAGTATGACCTATCACAACACAAAATTTTGTTCCAGATGAAGAGATTACTCTTCTTGGCAGAGTTGGTTTTCCTTCTGTCCAGTCATGCGTAAATTATTTGTCGGGAGGAATAGAAGGTATAAGAGGATATGAACCAAGGACCGACTGGCAGCACAGTAAGTATGAAATAGTTTATACAGTACAGTCAGTGGATATTTACACATGCGTCATCCAAAATAAGTTGAATGTAACTACTGATTACTGCTGCGAAGAACCCAACTTTTAATAAAGATTTCATTTATGAAATTCACTAAAAGGTAACCCCTTGTTATACGATATGCATAATGTTCGATGGCATTTTAATTAGTCTGTAAATGCATCACATTTTTTCAAATGCTGTTTTTGTTGGCATATGAATATAAAATGTTCGTAGATACACGATTTTTTTTTCGACGTTTCCAACTTCAACATTTTTAATCCATGTTTACCTAAAATTTGAGCCCCGAAAAAGGACTTGATAAAGTTCGAAACATCAGCAGAAAATAATATTCCGTAATATTTGTTACATAATATTAGAAATGGCCATTCCCAATTTGAGGTGAAAATTACCATATAAAACTGACTTTCTATGAAATGAGAAATTCCTTCAGTTCATCATCAGTAGTGGAAACTAATAGTTATGTAGTATTAAAAGACTATTACTGGAGTTTTTTCCAACACAAAACCGTTATTTCAACAGCTCGACACGTTTTTCGATCAGCAAGTGATCATCTTCAAGAAGAAGATCAAACTAAACATACTTACAATGTTACCATAGATACCTCTCAAGTGTCATAAATTAATTTCACAATATTGCCTTACCTACTAGTCTTGAATTAATTTTACAATGTGTCCATATTTTAAGTATGCTAAGTTTTCCTTACATCTTATTTTAATAGATCTTTTTGTCTGTCCATAATATTCTGCATCGCAGTCTTTAGACTGCGTAATTCCAAACTTTCCCGAATTCTCGAGTTTGTCTTTTGGGTTCCTAAAACGCTCATTAATGTATGACTCATTTTAAAAACCAGCTTCATACCTAGTTCCTTTAAGATGCAAAATATTATGGACAAACAAGAAAGTCTATTAAAATAAGATATAAGGAACACTTAGCACACTCAAAATATGGAAGACCTGAAAAATCAGCAGTCGCCCATCATATTTTGCAACAAAACCATTCCATAGACTTCAGTTCATTAAGATTACTTAGACAAATTAACAATAACAGGCATCTAGATGCCTAGGAGAGTGTAGAAATAAGTGAACATAATAATATGATGAATAACGATGGTGGACCAATACCTAATAGTATATTGCTCTTTAAAATACTATTTCAATTATTAAATTTACCTTTTACTATTACATGATTACATAAGGACACATTGTAAAATTAATTTGACAGTAGTAGATAAGGCAGGCAATATTGTGAAATTAATTTCATATAACTTGTATATAATAGTATACCATATAGCTTGTTGAAATAATATTTTAATCAATAGATTTACCTTACTATTACATAAGGACACATTGTAAAATTAATTTGAGGCTAGTAGATAAAGCAATATTGTGAAATTGATTTAGGACACTTAATAGGTCTCTATGGTATAAATAAGGATAACATTGTAAGTATGTTTAGTTTGATCTTCCTCTTGAATATGATCACCTGGTGATCGAGATGTTAAAATAACGATTTGGTGTTAATTATCTATAACTTTTGCAATTTTTTCGAGCCGCTGTTGAAATTTTTCAAAAAGTTGCTAGAGGTCATTCCGAATCGAATGAGTCCTGGATCATAATTTTCGGTGCCTTTGGACAGAAGTTCCAAAAAAAGTATCTTGTGACCCAGACTGCATTATTTTTTCGACTACATACGGCTGGCATACTTTGAGTGAGAGGTAAGAAAATCATACGAGGTCTAATCATTATTTTTATGTGGGAAGTTTTATATGGTATTAACTATATTGTAAATTTATCAGACCCGGTACATTAGTCTTTTATTTAGCTGTTCGGATTAACTTCTTACAGATTATACACAAGTAGGCTTGTAATTTAAAGGCAACTGAGATCAGCAATGCATTTGTACTTCAGTTTAGCAACACTAATGAGACCTGTGGCGGGTTGAAACAGAGCTGTGTGTTGTTGGATCTAGGTGCATCTAGGTGCTTTGCAGTAAAAGCTGCAGTGAAAATAGAGGACGAATGTCGTTCCAAGTGGGGATTTCAGGATTTACTGAAGCGCGGCATAGTTATATACAGGGGGATACCTTGTACTCGGTTAAGTACCTCCACCGAATATGAGCCTCATATATAAGGCCGCCCGTGAAGAATATAGGATCAGATTAGTAAAAATAAATGATCATTAGAAATTCTCGAGCGCGTCAGATTAAGGTAGGGTGAGTTAATTACCTGCTAAAAAGTGTATATTCCAGTAATCTGACAATTTGACAATGACGTAAAGAAAAGGGAGGACAGCAAAGTTGGTAAAAAATAACGTCATTTCGACATTCTCGAGCGGAGCTATTTTTTCTTTTTTTATTTTGAAGGAAATAAATCAAGGATAACGAAAAATATATAATCTGACGACTTCCGCAACCTGAAATAACAAAAATTCGTCGATAAAGTTTAATGCGTGCAGCTGTGTGATACCTATATTTCCCTTTCCGCGTTTCTATTCCTCTTTCACTTTTTCTTTATCTATTACTCTCTCACTCCGTCTCCACTCTGACTTCTGTTACCATGACGCCATCACAGCTGATCACAGAGCCTCGTTCGTGATGATAATGAGGATGATGATTAATTAATCAATTGATTACAAAAAATTTAAGTTTTTGAGCATATTTCTTTATTTATTTTCTTATAAATACAAGTATTCTATTTAAAACATACACTTATTTATTTGCATGCTATTTCCTGAGCTTTTCAGTCTATTAAGTTCAAAATTATTATATTGTCTGATTAGTCGAGTCCCTCTAGATAATCGTCAGATTATGAGACAGCACGCCTAGAACATAAAGATGAACCATATATATCTTAATCTGACGCGCTTGAGTATTTCAAAATGGCGAAATTTTTTGCACATTATAATGATGGCCGCGAGTTTGCGTCAGATCGAAATCGTCAGATTATTGAATGAGAGCTTTTTTTTGTGCACCTTACACCCCCTTAGAAAATCGGACGCGCTCGATCAAATTTGTTTTCTTTTCACTTAAAACCCTTACGTACAACCACTCTCATCATGCAAACGATCAGATTAACATACGAACATTATTAAAAATACGTAGGACATTGATGCTAGCAATATCTGACGCGCTCGAGTATGTCCAGGCAACAGTATTTTTTAACATATTCAAAAAACCATAGACGCTTGCCCCACCGATGAAAAAGTATATATTATATAACATTTTTTTCTTCTTATCATCTGAGCTTTGCAACCTAATGTGTTTCTATGACGCCCGAGTAAATCCCCATTTTGCATCGTGGGCTCCCCTACTATTATAACGGACTACTTGTAAGAGATTAGTCTATGTTGCATTCTATGTTGCATCACATAGATGATGCTTCTGTAAAGGAAGATGTCATCGCGTATATTTATAAAAGTATGTGTTTCGTTGCGTCAGGTATAATGACGCAAGAGTAATGATCTGTTGTCCCCTCCCTCAGGGGTCAAACCAATCGAAGGTCTTGAATGAATGAGGAAGTACAGTCCTCATAGGGCATTTTTCCATAAGCTAAACACAGAGTATCAAAAATATTTAAAAATTTTCATTTTCAGTGTTTAACTTATGGAAAAAGCAAAATGGCGGAGGGTAATTCCTCACTATCTACGTACGAGAAGGTACGGGCTCTCAGTGTCGGAGATCGAGATTTTTTAAATGACAGATTTCTATGTGAGACATCATTATAACTGTTTTAAATTCACTAGTATTTGAAAAATTAATTAGTGAAAGCCCCATAAGACTTTGTGGTATTTCCCCAAAAAGTTTGGGAGATTGCAATAATCAATTTCCCGAATACTTACTAATGCAACAATTATATTCGTCACAAATAGTGTTTCAGTAATAATACTTTAATTTTGGATTTTAACAATCCGGATCTCCTACATTCTGGGGTGAGGATTTGTGGGTTTCAAGCAAAGTCGCAATGTGCAACATATAGGAATTTATAAATGTTGCACATTGAGACTGGCCTGAAATCCACAAACTCTAAGCACAGAGTGCAGTCGACTTCTGTTGCATGTATGGGCAATAAAAAAAATACAACGTTATTAATTGAAGACTTACAATATTTGTAATGAGGTAAAGTACAGTGACGGATATTACACTTTCTTGGTTTTCGACGGTATCAAGCTTTTTGACTGTATTCATTGTCTCTGACCTTGCCTTTGTCGCCCCTTCCAGCAAGGTGGCACTCATCTTAGTGGCGATTTCCAATTTCGCCGTCTCCGCTTCTTTTTTCCTCAGAAAACTTTCTTCTCTCCTCTTTCTTTTTTTTTTCCTCTTCGAGGTGTGATTTGTAGAAGTTACAGGCATGTCGCGCCAAATTAGCCAATTCCTTGCAACTTGGCACCAGCTTCGCTTTTCACTGTCATTGCAGCGTCTAAAGTTCGCTCACTCATGGAATTGTCATCTGTTAGGTATTTACCAGAAGCTGAAAACCCTCTTTCTACTTCGGTATTTCCATGGGACAAAGAAAGAACAGCTTTAACGACCTTAGTTACATTGGGGAATCTTAACTCTCCAGTATACGTTTTTAGGAGAAGAAATTGATGCCAGTAGTCATCGATTCTTTAATTAGTTTTGTCCAACCGCACAGCGTCTTTCATCGCCATTCATCTTGCACAAACAAGTCCGACATCAACTTGTAACGGCAACGCACGAGCTAGTGTTGCGATTCGACCCACGCTAAGTGATTTCTTTCGCTGTTCTGGCTGAAGACATGGACATGACTGAAGGAAATTATTGCTCATAGAACTTTTTTTGATTATATGGGCACATGCTACTTTGATGTGCTATTGGGCTTTTGTTAGGAAACTCAGCCGAACATCCTCTTCTAATGCATACATTTCACTCATCACATCATCGTTCAAAATTATTTTATTTGCTTGAAGGAGATGGGTAGGCAATAATAAATCATTGCAGACGCCAACATTCTTAATCGATTCTGGCTTACATATTATTGCAGTAAGTAAAGACGCTAGACGATTAAGCTCATCGTATATGATATGGATCATAGGTCTGGAGGCCTAAAATGCTCCAGTAAAGGCTGTAAAGTTTCTTGCACTAGAGCCACGATATTTGACGGGAAATATAAAAACTATTATTCCAGGTCATTCAACAAACATACCCAGTTGATAAATTATTATTGGTAATGTTATGAAATTTAATAAGGACATGGTAAAAATTTACGCCGAGTAGATTTTCGGAATTTTCGGATGATGTCAAAAATATACGGTAATTTCGGACCTTTACCGAAATATCGAAGTTTTTCGAAAATTTCGGGCTCGGTTCGACCTCTGCCGCCCCCCCGGATATTCGGTTGATATCCACTGGATATCAATAGAATATCCATATGTAGTCAGATAATTATACTTAGAAGTCTTTTTTACTAAAATTATATCATACCATTACGATTCAGTGCTTTTTGTCTGAAATCCGTTGATACTCAATAATTTGATAGCCATAGTAACGATCTAGATATCAAAACACCTCCATTAATATATGTAGGTCAAATGTATCATATACCAATCGGCAAACAAATATAATTTTATTACGGTCATTGTTGATCCGAGTATCCGGCAACTACGGATCTTGAAAGTAGAATGGAATCGATGTATGAATATAAAATTATGTTTTCCAGGAATGCAGAATTTGTCAATATCTTGCGCTTTGGTATGTCTCATAGTCCTGGGCAGCGCAGCTCTTGTAGGAGCCTTTGGAGTTTTTCAGCACCAAATAAGCGCAGTTCTTGTCACCGGAGTCATGTATTTATTAGCAGGTAAAAATTTGTTTGAGAAATACTTTTGTCGACGATTTCTTCGATTTGATCGAGATATAATTCTTATAAAACTATATTTATTTTATCTAAACTTTGGAATCAATCAGCCGTATATTGTTTAGAAAAATGACCATTGATATTTTTTCTGATTCCGGAGAGGGAGCCTAAAAATCAGCTACCAAGCCCAAGGAAGGCAGAAGGCACACAAAGTAGGGTTACAAATAAGGCAGCACGCGCGTGTTAATAAAAAAATTACTTTTTTCAAATCTGTTTTTAAAAAATCAAGCAATAATGTAGATATATCAAGGAGGTTACGTACAGCGTCACCTGCCCGCGAATATATCAAGCAATAATGTCGATATATGAAGGAGGTTGCGTACAGCGCCATCTGCCCGCGAATAGATCAAGCAAAAATGCCGATAATTCTGTCAAATACAGATCCCGAGCTTGAGAGTTACAAACAAACAAACATACATACATATATACAGTTGGAACTAATAAAAGCGTGTTAAAAATGAGACTGAATGAGTGAGGGTGTGTACCACCGAATTTTCGAAAGCATTTGCTAAACCTTGCTAATTTGTGTTTACCCCCAGTAACCCGTTAGATCCCATAGTCTCATGACTTCTTATATAGGGTCTTTCATTAAACGCTACCTATCTTTAAATCTAAATAAAACAAAGTGTGTCTGAGATATCACGGAAAGTTTTTATTCGGATGCCATTATGTGCGGAATATAACATCTTTCAAATATCTGCCATGAGTTATCTGGGTAGAGCGCATCCTAAACGTCTGTTTTTCCATGACTCTGCTGCCCAAAGGCATGGGTTATGTTGGCTATGACACCCGCTGGCTTGTGGCTTATCCGCATACAGCTGCAACTTGCGAAAACCCCACAAGAAAAAGTCTAACGGGGTCAAATCGCATGATCTCGGTGGCCAGTTCACATATCCGATGTGGCATGAGCTGTGTGGCACGTAGAGCCGTCCTGATGAAACCACATGTCTCTGGTGTCCAGAGCATAAAATTCAAGTCAAAAGAAATTGATAATCATCGATTTACAGTGCTCGCCGTTAATAGTGATGGCCTAGCCAACGTCGTTCTCAAAGAAATGTGGACCGACGTCGCCGCCAGCCCAAAATCCACACCAAATAGTGACGTGACTTTTTCAGGATACATTAGACGCTCTTGGATCTCATGTGGATTGGTATTGTTCACGTACCTACCTACCCATTCATCCAGTAATAGGCCTCATCGCTGAAGATGATTTTTGGATGAAAATCAGGGTCAGCCGCCAACTGCTCCAGAGCCCATTCAGCTAACACACGTCGATGTCTATGGTCATTTACCTTCAGTTCCTTGGTCAGTTGAGTTTTATACGGGTGCAGGCCCAAGTCACGATGTAAAAATTCGTTGTGGTCTGCGAAAAGCCAAGTTCTTGTTCGCGACGCGAAATCGACTGCATAGAATCCAGGAATACTTTATTTTGAAGTGAAATTAATAGATGAAACTTTCAAGATGGCGACTGGGCGCCATTTGGAAAAAAATTAAATGGAAAGGGGGGACTTGTGACATATTTTTTGAAGCTCCTGACAAATGATTCACAACCCTAATAATATCAATATCTTGATTTGAAAGGGTTATATTTTTAGGAGTGATTAATTTTTGGGAAAGAAAGTTTTTGGCTTTCTACTACTCCATCTGATACAAAAAAATGGATGAGAGAATCTTCCAAAGAAAGGAAGGAAGTAATTACTTCCTTCCCTTCTAAAGGAAGGAGTAGTAGAAGGCCAAAAACTTTCTTTCCCATCAATGTCTTCAACTACTACAAAATGGCGGAACTTTTAATAATTGCCTGAATACATTGACATTTAACTACATAATATGAGGTAAAGTAAGCTTGAGGTCAGTTCAGAAGATGTCGAAATAGTTGCCTTGAATTCGACATATGAACAGCCAGGGTCAACAGTAGTTTCCAGCTGTTCCCCTGTTAAATTTTATTCAATAAATAGAGGTCCTTCAGTATGGTTTCCTAATATTCCTGCCCAAATGTTAATTTTTTCTGGATATTGGGTATGTGTTTCCCGGAAAACGTGGGGGTTGGTGTCACTCCAATAACGGCAATTTTGTCTGTGAACATTGCCGTTTAAAAAAATAGGCATTCGTCACTAAAACAAATATTGTGGAGATAGGTAGAATGCCTTGCAATGGTTTCCGTCATGATTTCGCAGATTTCCATGTTAATTTTGTATGGATGATACCTATTTCTCTTCAAAAGTCTCCACACAGTAGAAGGAGACACCTCACAAAACGGAGAAGTAATATTAGAATCTCCATTCGAAGTCGCCTTCTACAACCGATACTCGGTTTGATTTCACTCAACCCGACGTGGTGTATCGAACTTGCAAGTCAAATACTGACCAACTAAGTGCTGCTCTCGTTAAGCACTAACAGAGAAAGTCGGCAGATGAGCTCTAAGTTCAATGCGGGATTGTACCTGAGGGTCTTACATCGCTTTAGCTCCCCGAATGCTTGGGAGCTAAAAATATTTTCAAGTCCGGAATCGGACGAGAAGGGTTCATAACATTTTCATTACCAAGATATTTCTGATAATACATCCACGACTTATCACAGCCATCTATGTAGACACGAAAGGAAATGCATAATGACCTTTGTTTGATAACGACATGTCCGGTGTTCTACTGTCTACAAGCGAGTTGAGCTAAAGTCAGCGTATTTACCGCTGTAATATATGAAGAAGCATTACAACCGGAAAATAAACTTCAATTTTCAAATAAGTATCATCAATGTATACCTGTTCATCTTGAATACAAACACATTATTTCGATCTTTTTTTCTCATATAAAATTTACACCTGGTACAGACGCGCATACAACCAACACCCTGCAAGTTATGCGGACGTTCTTGCAATGCAGCCAACGCAGACTAGCATTGCAAAGAGGCACATTCGCTCTTATGCGTTGGCTTATTAGACCAGGGTCGATAATTTTTGAAACTAAAAAAAAATAACAGTAGTATGACACCCTTTGGAAAAGGAGGGGAATATGATAAAAATGAAAGATAAAATAAATTACGGCCGATCTGATTTCCTGAAGTGGGAGAGAGTGAGTTTTTAAGGGTAGAAAATGGTTTATCTCGATTTCCAGCAAAACTACAAGTCCTATGGATACATTACTAAAGTAAATGTTCTCAGAAAATGTAAAAAATCGAAAAAAACTAGAATTCGATTTTTTTAATCATTATCTACAACTTCATCAAAAAAATGTGATTGCTGCAATTTTATTGAGTTAAAAAATTAATTTATTGAATTCTGATTACATTCATGTCATAGAAAATCTCATAAAATATAACTATATGTACACGTAAATCGTACTATTGAATTTGGATACTTCATTCTCACTATGTTATCATTGATAATATTTCTGAAAACGTACACCTTGTTATTTACAAATACCTTATCTTGAATTTCAATCACTTATCCATTAGTTTTTGTCTCTTTAATAGCATTTCTTCATCGTTAGGTTCGACAAACCTTTCCAATTCTAGTTGATCTTCGAAATCTTCAAGACCATCACCTTCTTCGTTTCCAATATTATTTCCAGTCTGCATTGGTTCTTAATCCACAATTTCATCATTGACTTCCTGGTATGTTTTCTCTTCCATATTGGGGCAATTTTCAGAACCATGACGATTTGAGCATAACTCTGCTGTTTCACAGCTGCAGCAAATAGTTTTAGGCAATACTTCCGGAATTAAGTCCTTTTCTGTAAATTTGGGCATAATGCCACGGTGACATTGCTTACAGTTCGTTACCCAACCAAGTTTGAAGCTGATAATATGCCCTGTAACAATGTTGTTCTGCTGCTCCTTCTGTGGGTGGGAGGTTTGCCAAAATGAAAGATGATTTAATTTTTGCCAATTAATATTTTTGAAATCTTAATTGACTCAGTGTTATTTTTTCATTTTTACTTCATAAATAGATTTGATTAATTGTAATCCTTTCTTTTATATTAATTTTGCCAATTAATATTTTTGAAATCTTAATTGACTCAGTGTTATTTTTTCATTTTTACATTAATAAATAGATTTGATTAATTGTAATCCTTTCTTTTATATTAATTTTGCCAATTAATATTTTTGAAATCTTAATTGATTCAGTGTTATTTTTTCATTTTTACATTAATAAATAGATTTGATTAATTGTAATCCTTTCTTTTATATTAATTTTGCCAATTAATATTTTTGAAATCTTAATTGACTCAGTGTTATTTTTTCATTTTTACATTAATAAATAGATTTATATCTTCTTCACTCGCATCTTTCTTATAAAAACATTGGCCAAATTTGAAAAATTTTTAGCGTCTAATAATGAATGTACGTTACTTTTCTTTCCTTTTCCGGCAAATCCAGATGTTTTATTGCAACCAGAAATGCAGAAAACAATGCAGAAATGCAACAATATTTTGGAAGGATTCATGTTTGAAACTATTAGACGTGAAAAATAGATTCTATACATTTCCAAACTCAAAATTGTACATAATGATTTTACAAAAATTCGAATTCGAGTTTTTTTCGATTTTTTGCATTTTCTGAGAACATTTACATAGTAATGTATATATACAGCGTGACTCACGGTCGATGGTAGGTTAGACGTTTNTAGATCTTTTTATTACCTACAACTTTGCCATTTAACTTTTTTCCATAGGACTTGTAGTTTTGCTGGAAATCTAGATAAACCATTTTTTACCCTTAAAAACTCACCCCCTCCCACTTCGCGAACTCAGATCGCCCGTAATTTATTTTTCCTTTCATTTTCATCATATTCCTCTCCTTTTCTAATGGGTTTCGTCCTACTATTATTTTTTTTTCACTTTTTGCGATTTTTGAAGGCTTCATTCAGCCCTGGTGTACATGTATTTGAACATTGTACGCCCTTGGGCAGTGGGTCTTATTCTTCATAATAATTATTCGAGTTAAACAATCATTTTCCAAACCTTCACTTGACATCACTTTCAAACGAGTTACCTAAATAATTAAACCACTTTGGAGTTATATAAAACAGATATTCATAACTATACTATACGTTTTTGACATCTGAATATGAACTGGCCCCTTTCATGAATGCCAACACCCTTTTCCAACGTCTTCGAATCATTTTGGTTACAAATGCTACGCTACCAATTCGAATCACGTTTCGTTCATGTCGGGAATGAAAAAATAAATTAATTCTACAGACCCGAAAGACGCACATAAATTTTAGGAGTTTTTATGAACGTCCTTTAGTGACGCCGTGCTTTGAAATAATATTCAGGTTTATTCAAGACCGTTCTCAATTATGTATACTACAAGGGTAGACTGAAAAGTTTTCTATATAACAATGATACAACACATTTTTTCAGTTTTTTTTTTCAACATAGTTTCCTTTTAAGTCTACACACTTCTCCCGGCGATGTTTCCCATCTCTGTAACCCGTCCAAATAGTACTCGGCGGTTTTCTCTGCAAAACAATTTTTCACGAAAGTGATCTCTTCATTTGACGAGAATATCTGTCCTCCGAGCGAACTTTTTAGATGAGGAAAAAAAAAAGAAGTCACTTGGGGCTAGATCTGGTGGGTAAGGCGGATGGTCAAGCATTTCAAACCGTAATTCGTGGATTTTTGCCATGTCAACCGCTGAGGTGTGAGACAGTGCGTTATCTTGGTGAAACAGGATTTTTTATGCAATTTTTGCCATTTTTCCGCAAGTTCTTCCTTGAGCTGGTCAAATAATGATGCGTAGTATGCTCCTGTAATGGTAGTTTTTCTTTTTTGAAGATAATCGATTGAAATAACTCCATGAATATCCCAAAAACAGTCGCCATCACTTTCCGAGCCGAAAAAACAGTTTTTGCTTTTTTAGAGCCGGTTCCCCTTTGCAATCCACTGTTTAGACTGTATTTTTGTTTGTATAATGGTGTATCCAAGTTTCATCTACACTAATCAATCGGCACCAAAACGCATATTTATTGCATCTAAACTGCGCCAAGAAAGCGTTGGAAATGTTCATTCGAACACGTTTTTAGTTTAACGTGAACAAACGCGGCACCCAACGCGCGGACAGCGTTCCCTTGCCAAAATGTTCATTTAATACGTGACAAACACGTTCTTTTAACATGTTCATAACGTCTGATATCTCTCTCACTTTAATTCGGCGGTCGTCTAGCACCATTTGGTGAACTTTGGCGATGTTTCGTCAGTAGCTGCAGTTTTCAAACGTCCCGAATGTTCATCGTCTTCCAAGCTCCTTCGGCCACGTTCAAATACAACTGCCCAAAATTTCACTGTGGTAAATGATAGTGCAGAGTCCCCATACACAGAATCCAACTCATCTTTTATTTCCGTAAGTCGCCATCACTTTCCGAGCCGAAAAAACAGTTTTTGCTTTTTTAGAGCCGGTTCCCCTTTTGCAGTCCACTGTTTAGACTGTATTTTTGTTTGTATAATGGTGTATCCAAGTTTCATCTACACTAATCAATGGACACCAAAACGCATATTTATTGCGCCTAAACTGCGCCAAGAAAGCGTTGGAAATGTTCATTTGAACACGTTTTTAGTTTAACGTGAGCAAACGCGGCACCCAACGCGCGGACAGCGTTCCCTTGCCAAAATGTTCATTTAATACGTGACAAACACGTCCTTTTAACATGTTCATAACGTCTGATATCTCTCTCACTTTAATTCGGCGATTGTCTAGCACCATTTGGTGAACTTTGGCGATGTTTCGTCAGTAGTTGCAGTTTTCAAACGTCCCGAATGTTCATCGTCTCCCAAGCTCCTACGGCCACGTTCAAATACAACTGCCCAAAATTTCACTGTGGTAAATGATAGTGCAGAGTCCCCATACACAGAATCCAACTCATCTTTTATTTCCGTAGGCGTAATGCCTTCCAAAAACAAATAATTAATGACAGCTCGATACTCGATTTTGTCCATTTTCATAAAAAACTCTCACATCTACTATATAACTCAAACGAGTGTTAGATGACAACTGCGCGTCCAAAATGGATGAAACTTTGGTGAGTAACTGTCAATAGATGAACAACGAAATTCACTAGTTTTTATTCACGAGTGCTGCTATCTTCATATTGAGGTCAGAAACTTTTCAGACCACCCTCGTATAATTCCAAAATAGTAGGCCTTAATATGTCTCTTGCAGTGGCGTACGGAAATTATACTGAACAGATAAGGAAAAATGATGATACAATATATAGATTCACAACCCTGACAACAATGTTTTCGTTTCAATGCCATAATATTTCGAAGAATCAAGTGCCCACTATTATGGAATTGTACTATAGAAAAACAGAATTATGGATTCAAATTAAATAAATCGTTTCTAGAATCTTGTCTGAGGAGAAAAAAAAGGTCCATAATGATTTTGAAGGGTGTACTGAATTTTACTCTGAAACGACCAAGCTTGTTTTGGATGGTTTTTTGAACCAAAAAATACAAAATATTTGGATGTCAATAAGAACATTCTAGAAAATGTATCAATTTATGTATACCAACATTTATACTAATATTGAGATCGGTATGATTATTATAAAATAAAATCGAACTATAGATCAGCCCATTTTTTTTAAGCACAAAACACAAGCACAACAGGAAAATCCTCAAGGCGCTCTTAGAGCGATGCCATTGGATTTGAATCGCTAGAGATTAAATCCATTTGGAAAAACGTTCTCAGAAAGTTTATTCCACATAAACGTAGTTCTCCACATGGAAGAGTTCTTAAATAGCGCAGTTCGAGGTGTACTGAGTTAAACCTCCTCAAAACGATGAGCAGCCACAGTCCGTCGCGTATTTCTGATATGTACCGCTCTTGGTAGAATCAAATGTGCCAAGTCACTCACCTTCCGTGAAAGCATCTATACAAGAAAGACAAATCTTCAACCTTTCTTCGATGTTCCAGGCTATCACGGTTGCACGTGATGTTCGGGTCTCCAATCAGGCGGATGACTCTTTACTGAATGGAATCCAGCAACTTCAGGGTATGTTTGGGGGCAGAACTCGATACATGAGAACAATACTCCAAAGGTCTGATATGAGCTTTATAAAGCATCAAAAGTTGCTGAGGTGTGTATAGTTTTCTGGTTCGGAACATTTTGGGAAGCAGCCTCTGCAATTCCAGCGACATGATTGTACCAAGACATATTAGTGTCCATTTTAACACCCCACAAACTTATCGCAGAAAGCGGAATCGTCTGACCTGGCATTGTTATATCCGTTCGGAGACATTTATCTTCTTGGAGAAAACCGATGCCTGGGTTTGTGTGACATTGAATTGAACTTGATTACTTTCACCCCAATTCGAAATCACTCATCAAGATATCCAACCTCCTGCTGCTGGTCAAGATGTGCCTCCGTAGCCAATGTCCTGGAATCCAAATGAGACAAGTGTGCTGTCGTCAGCAAAGCAATATATTGGATTCTTAATTTTTTCCAAAAAGTCGTTGATATACAATAAAAAGAGGGTTGGAGACAATATGGATCCCTGGGGAACACCAGCGTTGATGGTGAAAGTATTCGAGAGATATCCATCGATGGCCACTTGCAGGGAACGTTCTTTCAGAAAGCTGGAGAGCCATAAACACAGAAATGGCCCGACAAGCCATAGCATCGAAGTTTGGTCAAAGGCGTTAGAGATATCAAGCGCAACAGCTCTTGATTCTCCACGTTTCTTGATTGTGTTATTCCAAATATGGGTGACATTCGATAGATCTTTGTTGATCTTTGTTTCCGAAAGTCATATTGATGATCGCTCAAGATGTTGAACCCTTCCAAATATTTGAGGATATGATGGTTTACGGCTTTCTCCATGATTTTTGATATCACTCATATCAAAGCGACTGGTCTATAGTTTTTTGGAAGATTTTCTTAAATCTCGTTAGTTTCAGGGAACAACGCATGTCCTTAACTAGAACGAGAAGGCCTCATTTGTTTTTTATAGGTAGATATTCATGGTTTGAAGCTCCCACATATCGCGTCTTTGTAAAGAAGATTATTACCAATTTATTATTCGAATTTTCATTTCTCTATATTCATTTTAAAGCAGTTCGACTCATGATGATGTGAAAGTCGCTAACAACATATTTCTCAAAAACATTTAACCGCAAAAGAAATAACTTATAGTTAATTTATTCAACTTTATATCATCTGCTTGTCAATAACAAAAAACTGTCTGGAAATCGTTCGCTCAAACTTTACAGAAATGAGTATTACTTAACAGCATTCCTTACTTAGCCCATTAACATCTGACCTGAAAGACCACTCACCATACAAGCTAATCGGCTTCGTTAAGAAGCTGGGTTTATTTGGTCGAGTGTGAATAGGTGTGAGCCACCCTTGCGGGTTGCGGTGTAGGGTCGAATAGACCCACTCACTTTGGACCTAACCTAACTTAACGTAACCTACTCAGCCCATTCTCCACAATGTCAGTAGAACTTTCATCTCTCAAACCACAATCACACTACAATGTCATTTAAAAAACAAAGCAAGTTATGAAGCCACTACGTATTAAAATCAGAAGTAGTATAGTTTGATTTCATTAATGGACATTTTTTTCTAGCATCGTTCGCCTTGTTCACTCTAACCATAATACACTTCAAGCGATTGCACAGCAAACCTCACTTTGAAGATTCGGGAGGTGCAGTAGACGGTGTCATCAGTCCAACTGGAGGAAGAGGAGTCAAAGAATTGCTACCTGCCAGAGTGTTCACGACATCATGGTCGCTGGACCTCGGATGGGGAGGAGTGATGTTGTGTGTGATGACTTCTGTACTTTGGATACTACTATCAAAAATAATGAGATTCAATCCTATATCGAGTATGATCAACTATTGAAATGGCCATTCAGGAAGAAATGATAAAGAAAAACAACGATAATTTTATGACATTTAAATTTCACTTTCCATGTTTCTTTATATTGTCAATATTAAATAAATGTTGGAATTATAAACATGGAAGATTTATTATTATAACCTCTTTTATAGTGTTCAAATTGTTTTACCATCTTTGAAAGTTTGATGAAATTAAGATTGTAGTTCGCAATGACCTAACCTAAATGGTTAGACCAATAATCATCAATCTCAGAATTATTACTATTTCATTACTTCCCACTAGAATCGTAATATGACTAGGTGGTATTGAAGGTTTTCTATGTTTACCTAAAATAAAAACAGTGAATGACAAAAAATAATCTTCCTCTCCATCCTCAATCACACATTCCTTGCCTTTGGATAAACGCAGTCGAGTATTTCAAAGTCAGATTAATCATTATTATTGTCACCTACAAGGTTGTACTAGTCGGACCATGCCCCAGAAGCTTCGACACATTCGAAGAGCACCACCACCGCCATCACCAACCAATAACCACTCCCCACATCGTACGGCAAGTGATAATTGAGTTCAAGAATAATGTGCCCTGAGTAGACGCAATGAACAAAGCATGACAATGATCTGTATTCGTCTGGCCAATAATTATGTCTTAGTGTCGCAAGCTGCCAAGACCTTGCAAAGCTGCCAAGACCTTGAAATTAGTGAATAGAGAACCTTACTTTGATGATTGAATACCTAGTTCCAATAAATTCTCCACAATGGATTGGATCTCCCCCGGTTTTATTCGGTTATTAAGAGGGACTTCCCCCCCACCCCACTCCATCAGAGGCCTTACAAACTATTGGGAATGTGACATCGGAGTTCTTTTCTACTACTGAAATATACAGTGATTTCTTCGAAGTCTCCCCCCCCTTTTATTTTTTGAACGGATCAACTCAAAACATTAAAATTTAGGATAATGAAATTGATGCATGAATACTTTATTTTGAAGTGAAATTGACAGATGAAACTTTCAAGATGGCGACTGGGCGCCATCTGGGAAAGTAGAAAGGTACCACGTCAACAATCTCTAAAATAGTCAATTCTCGTCAATTGGAAGAAAAAATTTAAGCGATTTTTATTTACGGTGCGACGCGTTACTTTCACAAGACCGAAATGATTTTCAATGAACGTTTTCCGAATCGTCCCATCTGTAGAAAATAATTGAGAGAACTTTTACAACTACCGGTAGTGTACATAACAAAAAGCCCCCAGGTCATCCGTCCATTCCGAAAGAACAGCAAGTGCAAATAATTAGTGAGATGGTAGTAAATCCTGAAAAGTCTACTTATTCTGTAGCGAATGTTTGTGAGGTGCCTCCTTCTACTGTGTCGAGAGTTTTGAAGAGGAATAGGTATCATCCATACAAAAATAAAATGGTACACCAATAAACTGAAGATGACCATGATCGAAGAACAGAATTCTGTGAAATAATGACGGAAACCATTGCAAGGCATCCTACCTATATCCTCATATTTGTTTTAGTGACAAATGTACATTTTTTCAAACATCAATGTTCACAGACAAAATTGTCATTATTGGACGGACACCAACCCTCACGTTTTCCGGGTACACATTCCCAATATCCAGAAAAAATTAACGTTTAGGCAGAAATATTGGAAAACCATATTGTAGGACCTCTATTCATTAATCAAAATTCAACAGGGGAACTGTATTTGAATATGCTAGAAACTTCTGTTGACCCTCTCATCACTGAAATCGTCTAAGCGAATCCTAATGAATTCGATAAGGATATTGTATTCCAACAAGATGGAGCACCACCACATTACTCCAGACAAGCAAGAAACTATTTGGATACTACTTTTCCCGGTCGTTGGATTGACCGTCGAAGTCCTACAGAATAGCCAGCCCGCTCGTCAGAATTAACACCTTTGGACTTTTTTATGAGGCTATTTGAAGCAAAAGGTGTACGAAACTGAACCTGCTTCAATATTGGATATACGGCAAAGAATAATATATATTTGTAGATATATTGACGTTACTGTGTTCGAAAATGTTCGGCGTGAAATATCGGATAGGCTGTTCATATGTCAAGAAGTTCAAGCAACTATTTCGAGCATCTTCTAAACTGACCTCAAGTTTATTACCTCATATTCTGTAGTTAAATGTCAATGTATTCAGGCAATTCAGATTTTAAATAGATTAAACAGATTAAATAGAATTATTAAAAAGTTCCGCCATTTTGTAGTAGTTGAAGATATTGATTTCATACTCCAGGATTGTGAAGTATTCGTCAGGAGCTTAAAATGATGTATCACAAGACCATTCCCTTTCTGTTTAATTTCTTTTTTCCAGATGGCGCCCAGTCGCCATCTTGAAAGTTTCATCTGTCAATTTATCCTCAAAATAAAGTATTCATGCATAAATTGCATTATCCCAAATTTCAATTTTTTTAGTTGACCTGTTCAAAAAATAAGAGGGAGGGGGAGTTCACCATCTATTATTTTTCATAAAAAGGGTAATTTCAGTTTACTTTTCATTCCCTAGATATCTGGGTAGATTGCTCAGTTGTATGGAGTTGAATAATATAGCATTGATATTTCCATAATGATCAGTTAAAAACAGCGAAAATTAGGGTGTCATATTTTTTTTCCTTTTGTATATGTATCTATATGGATAACTTCACATCGGTCTAATCTTGTGGTGCAACCTGCATGTTCAACCACTTCAACCTTCTCGTTAGCAAGTTCAGAAGGAGCTACATAGCCTAGCTCACCAAGATAGGATACATGTTTATGATGATTTATTTTTGCACCCATTGCACGAGTAACTGGTGAAGCAGCTCATCAAAGGATTCAGATGTTAGATATGCCATCCCTGCCTATAACCAAAAAAGCTATTCATCTGATGGAAGATCCAAACATTAGAATATTGAAAGTCTAGCTGGAGCATCAGAACAATTATATAGTGGTTTATCCTTTGGAAGTTCAACTCGATATAACATGGATTTAGGTTTTTACACACGAATAGAACCAGAACCCGGAACCTATGGCGTTGAATAAATTACCAACCAAGTTGACGTCTTCAGGACGTGCGTCGAGAAGAGTGTTGGAGTTCTGGTGTTTGAGAACAGCGCTCATTATTGAAAATTATATATGTTGAGAAAGGCGATATTTTAAAATAAACTGCATTAGATATTAATGAAATGCAATTTTGAACATTCACCTCTCCTAGCAGCACCTACACAACAGGATCTGGCAAATACCTAAATAGCTACTGGATAACACTTACTTCCCCTGCTAATACCGCAATGGACATTGAATTATATCCGAAGAACATTTGTGCAAATTTCCATACAAAAGAATTTCTTGCAGATGCTTCTCATTAAGTCAGCAGCAGGACTTTGCTGAAATTAATGGGTAATCACCTACAGACTGGTTTTATAGTATTACTACTCGTCAGTACAGCACAGACCAACCAAGAAAGCAGGATTTTTGGGACTAATTTCATCAAAGTTTGACTTACTTGCAAACCCAGAAATAAACATTTGTCATGTTTTCGACATGACATATTTTTCAACCTATATAAATCATCTGAAAACAGCTGATGGAGAATATATTTCCAAATTTTTTTGCTGTTTTTTAGGTATTTTGAAAACCATTTCCAATTGTGTAGATTTCTACACTTTGAAGAAGTTTATGTTTCGATCTCTCATCAGGAGAACAGTTTTTTATGGTTTTATCTAAAATCCTCCAGGTATGGTTTTGCGGGGGGCGAAGCTCAAAGCTTCTTAATAAAAGCTAATATGAACACTTCTACTTTAGATGACCTTTTTTTAATAAGAGAACTAGGAACAATGTCCATCAATATGAGATGATAATTTTGGTTGAGAATATTTTGGATATTCAGTTGAAAAAACACATTCACCGTTCACCACATATTACTGCTTCAATTAATAACAGATATATCAATAAATTGGTAGTTTTACCCTTCTCCTGAAATATAAGAGTGTTGTAGATATTGTCCTTTGACAAGTAACATATTGAAGTGGAATGTGAAAACTTTTTCAATTCAGGTTATTCCTCTAACAGCGAGTTCAATAAATAATAAATTACAAACTGTGATGAAACACCATTTGCAATAAACACAAGAATGCACAGATTCCAACCCAATCTCCAGCACATTTAGAATTATTATACAATGTCTACTAATAATATAATCAGTTAGTCTACTGAAAAACTAAAGTCATGCTAAGGTTGTTTTAAATAAACAGACTAAAACGAGATATTTCTCCTTTAACATCACGACTATAGTTGAAAACACTGAATATTCTCTTAAAGAAACAAATTTTTAATTATTTCATACAGTTTTCGTCAACCAAGTTAGTACCATCAGATAATCATTAAGAAATCATTAGAATTAACTTTATGTTGGCATCCTAATGATGACATGTTGGTTAGAGAAACGTGCATCAAGAATAGTGAGACGTGAGAAGCATAATTGAAAACTCTGGCGTGAAGGGAATGAAAACACATTTTTTTCTAATATTACTAGCAAACCGAAGCAAAAAGGCAGAAACACGAAACTATTCTCGAATGAACTCGTGAAATATCGATATTATTTGAGTGCATTATATTATATGATGTTGAGTTATCGTTAGACAAATATTCAATAAGAAAAAACAACTTAAAAAGGTTTCCAAAAACCAAAAAAAAAAAAAAAAACTCACCTCTATTTGAAATTTGAGGGAAACTTCTCAACGAATAATTTTATTACAGAATAATGATAAACATCAAATTTATTGACAAAAAATAATTCAACCGTAAAAACTTAGCGGGTTTTTTGACAATCGGTATTCAAGACAAGAAAAATAAAAGGAACAAGCAGTGTTGCCACAACAGTTCGAAAAATACTCAGAGCAATAAAATATTACAAGGGCCTCCTTTCCTATCCTTTTATGACTGGAACATATTGTACATTTACATAGGGACAGAGCCATAATGAAATCAGATCTACCTATTCTAATGTAGCATCCGACACTATCTTGCCATTCCAAATCTAAATGTTCAGTCAGGATGTCAAGGAAAATATTGAAGAATAATATAGTTTCCATTGAATATGTTAAGGAAACGAAGCCGACTAGAATTTCAACAGTTGAAACAGTTGGAGTAAACAATAATTATTGGCGATAGAGATACTCAGTAATTAATTCTCTGTAAACAGGAAACAAGCAAAATTCAAACTAACTTCACAATCCCAGTATTGCCAAGGTGTTGTAGTTCTATGATTCAGTCGTGTTATTCAGTAGTCAACCAATGGTAATAAGAGTAGTGTTTCAAATGGACCAATCATAGAAGAATTTAATATTGCCAACGTCACTTTTGAAACATTTTTGTTCTAGGGATATTTCAAATGAAAGAAGTGATTATTATTCAACAATAATAGGAAAATTGATATTTGTAGAAATTAATGGACAACGAATTGAAAATATAAATGAAAAATGTATCAGAATTACAATTGGTTGGTAGTCCTGCACTCAGTACTAGTGTCATAAATTCAGCAATGGCGGATATTTGAATTTTTTATAATCTTCGTTCAATTATTGCGGCTTTGGTAGTTTTCAAATATGTCTCCATATTCTCATCATTATCATATTGCATTTATTCCACCTAAAACACAAATGACAAGGTTAATGCGGTTGTAGCATGGACTTTCCACAAAAAGAAATACAAATCATAACCTCTCATTCAAATGCATATACAAATCTTATGCACGCAGGAAAGATTTTCATCTTAATTCAATCACTATTGAAACTATTGAAGTATATCGCTTTCAATTTTATAATACAGTTTTTGGAAATTGTCGTTTGACTTGAATGCAGATGCAACTTTTTCTATTAAGAACTAAAGAATGTGATTAGCGTGCTCTGAATACAATGAATTTTCACGTCAAATTGGTGCATATTTTCAATTTTTTTTTTCATTTTTTCATTGTTAACTTGGGCTGTAAAATTCATACTTGGACGACAAAGTGTTAATTTGTATGCTCAACAGGACTATTCACGTAAATAACTATTTTTCAATTTACCTGTTCCATTACATCAAATTCCCGCCAAATATTTGAATGTTAACCCCTTCGGGACTCGCTAGAATTGCCTGCGCACCCCTCGGGAATCGTTTATCCTTTCGCATTATCGCGTTCTATCGAAATAGAATGGCGAATTTGGCGAATTTTTAGTTTTCCCAAGAAAAGGGTTAATAAACACAACATCGATTTCATGATAGAATATATATAATATGGTAAGATTTTATGAAATTATAGGTTACTATAAGAACCAATAGAGATACTATTTTTCTTCACTTATGAGTTGAATTTTTGAATACATTGAGAAAAAAATACATAGTATGTGTTTAGGTTCCAATGTAGCATTTATTAAACCTGTAATTTATGTAGAATTCACATTATAGGGGGTGTCGTTGAATCCTAATACAGAGAAAGTTGCTATCTGTTGTGTTTATATTTCAGTAAAATAATGTATTACAATAATGACGGGAATACTTTGAGCCTTTCTTCACTCACTGTTTCACTTTCTCTTCACATAATCGAATCATTTCTAATTCTGAATCAAATGGAACTGTTACCACTATCTTACACCAGATTCAGTAATTATCAATTATTTTATTTGTTATTCAAATACTTTCCTAAAAACTATTTTTTCCATTCTTTTTCTGCCTCAAAATGTAATTGGTCAAGTTCATTGGTTTTGAAGGATGTATAAGCAAAGAAAGTAGTAGGTACACTATTGAATATTTCAAGCTGTGTCAATGATTTCTCTTAAGTTTACAATAGAAAATGTAAATGGAGCTAGTTCTAAATATTGGTACAGACGCAGGATACAGTACTTATTCTAGAAAGTCATTCTGCCAGATATAAGAATGAATCTATAACATTTCATATGAAATTTTGTTTATAAATATAAATGAATGGCAAAGGTAAGCTCAGATTGACATAAGTAGTGATTACATTCAAGAGAAAGAAAATGTAGTGAAAAAATTTTGAAGAAATGTCGTATATTTTTATTCTAGTCTGAATAATCTTCGAAGTTAGGAAAAACTTACAGCATGAAAAATAAATATTATTGTTTTCAAGATTTTTATTTATAGTTGGAATTATTTAAATTTGAAATGTTCTGGATACAGATATATCATGAATTTCCCATCATTTGGGGGCCATTTTTCCACCACAATTCCTACAATTCACCAGTTCGCTGCCAAATTTTCCCAAGAGAATTCGAATAACTCCTGTCCTGCTCAGGAGAATAGCAACAGATATACAGCTAATGGAGTACCATCGTTCACTCAACATCATCATGCCACACAGCAACAAATGCTGAATACTATAAATAGTGGTAAATATCAGGGCAACTACTTGAATCAAGCAATTTATACTCAGCAAAACAATGTTCGTCCAGAAAAACGACAGATCTTTGAACCTCAAGAGTTTGCTCAGGAGTTATGTGCAGCTATGCTTCAACAGAGTCAGCAGGAGAAACACATTGAAAGGGTGAGAATATGCAACACATTTCTGTAATTATTCAAAGGAATGAATATTAATGGGAATAACTATTATTTTCAAATAAAGTTTGAGATCAAATCGTAAGGTGTAGTTTATGAAAAATAGTATAATCCAAAAACCTGTCAGAAAATATAATTCACATCTGCCCAGGTTGTATTTCAATATTTATAATCAATATGAAACTATTGTAGAAAATGTTATGGTTACACATAATCACTTCTGTAGTTCAATACTTCATTATCTGAAATCTATTATATACAGAGTGAAAAATGGTCAAAATCCGAGTGAAAAAGATTACAATGAAGAAAGATTTAGATTCAAAGGTACAGAAGGTATAATATTCGAATATCTGCTTATTGGACAATATTTTAATCCACCAGATTGATAAATTCACAAAGAGTTCAGCTAAACAGATTTATCAGAGAATTTTATTTGAGGGTTGCCTTTTATGTTTCTACAAAGACCATTAAATAGTATTACTGAAATGTGGCACCATGATATTAGTGAAATTTGCCATTTATTACAATAAGCATTTTAAATAACAATAGAAAATCAGTCGAGATGGTTTTCAATAAAAGAATGAATAGGAGGTCGTCATCTATCGATGAATCTTTCAAAAAAAATTATGATGTTTTTCAGCTGCACAAGACAGGACAAATATCCACCATTTTTTCAGAGGATCAAAGAACAGTTAACAACCCTAAATGGTATGCGACAGTACATTTAACAAGTCTGTAGTCGACCTAAAACATTGCATCATTCCTCATGATGACAACGCCAGCGTCCATCAGACAACAACGCCAGCGTCCATCAGACAACAACGCCAGCGTCCATCAGACCATTGATTATTTGAAAAGAAAATACTGAATTGATGACTCAGTGTCTGTAGTCTCTTGATTTATTGCCAAGCGACTTTTGTTGTTCCTCTATATCCAATAACAAATGTGAGGGCAGTGATTTTCATCACCTCAAGAAACTGTTGAATAGTTTCAAAACCATATTTTTGAAATAATAACTTCAGCGTGGTAAAGCTGTTTGAGATTTAGTTTGAATGCATAAATATGCGGGATTTCAATCTTAAAGGTGAATTAAAAAACAGTATTTGTTACAGAAAATAATTTTAACTTTTCATAAAACCTTAAAAGGTGACCCTCATAGATGGAATGACGTTTTTGCTTTATTACATGTTCCCTTTAAATTGCACTACTTTTCCATGGCCTCAAATACAAGGGCTCAGAAATATTTTATAAAATCGTTTATTTCTTCACTACATAAGATTAATTTGAAGTGCTTGGTTCCTAATGGTATTTCTTTGTGTTACATTTGAACCTCCCATATTTTTTAAACAACTTTTATTTATCATTTGCATGCATATCATTGATACATATTACTTGTGGTAGACTATTTTATTTGTCATTGTCCATAAAACATATTTTATCTTCTCGAAATGTTGAATAATTCAGCGTTGCAGTCACAAGCAATCAGTGTTTTAACCATGTATTTCGAAGTATTGGCAAAATTGCTGCTCTTAATATTTAATTTAATATTTTAACATTCTATCTTCAACTTTGATTGACATACAAAAATACGCCTTTTGAAGGGACTATTCCAAACACGCTAATTTGTTGACAGATCAAACCTGATAGCCAAGAGGTCGATAGGAGAAATCAACAGTCTTCCCAAAATATTGAACAGATTATACAGCAATCTCATCAAACAGCTCAACAGAATATTAACCAAACATCATCTGTAATGCCTCCAGCATGGCAATCGCTTGCTACCTCAAGTTCTACAGTAGCCGATTACTTGTCTCATTTGCCATCTTCTACGTTACCTTTGAGTTTACATCACTTTCTGAAATATTCAGCAGAGAGTATAAAAAAGGAACATGTACAGCAACTTACCATTCCAAGTACTAACGACACAAATTCTAATCTCTCACACAACAGTTCCCTGAACGTAGGGGGTCTGAATGTTAGTACTTCCAGTGCTACTGTCAATAATTTGGTGTCGTCAAATGGTGTAAATTCTTTAACTACAATCAACACTGCCCAACTTCAGAATATATGCCCCGCTAAAAAGAAGAGAAAGAAAAGGCCCGAGAAGGAGAAAAAACCTCGCCCAAAGCCAGGTACTTTTATTATCATTTGATAATTGATAAAAAGTGTACAAGATTATCCATTATGTGGCAATAACAATCTGTCGATGTTTGAACTATTTCTATGTAAGTTAGTGTCAAAAATTACATGAAATATGTAAGATTGAGAAATTGAATTATGTGTATACAAATTACTTACTTCGAATCAACCTTCCATGGGTTTTTTCACGTTCCACCATCTGAAAAAAATTAAAAATTGTAATGGAGAACTTCTACAAGTGTAGTAGGGGTAAACATTTTAGTTCACCCCGACAAGTTACTGCGAAAATTCTAAATATTTTTCACTGATAAAAAAAATTCACAAAGAAAAATGTTGTATTCGTCAGAAACTCTTTTTGTCAAAATTACTTGAACTCATCGGGGTGAAAAAAATTTCCCTTTCTACACATGTATAAAGTTCTTGATTTTTAATTTTTTTCAGTTTGAAGAAGGTAAAAAAACACAAAAAATCTAGATGAAAACTCTATTTTCTCAACAGTTTTGTTCACTGTTGATTGAGTAAGTTTGTTTTGAAATTGTTTTTGATCAGTAATGGCGATATTAGGATTTTACTGACAAAATATTATATATTGCTACTACTGAATAGGTGAAAGATCATTAATTGGTAGATGAAAATCAATAATATTTCTAATATTGCAAACATTTCATGTCTTAGAAGTTTGTTTATCAAGTAAACTCGTTTGTTTTATTAATTTATGGATAAAATGAAGTTCTATTTTGTTCAAAACAAGCACTTTTCTGAATCACCAGAAATGCAATACTCTTCTCGGTGCGTGTTTCTCCAATCAAGTTGGCATCTTCAGTTTTCTTCATTTCCTGAAGACGCCAACTTGGTTTATGAAACGCGGGTCGAGAAGAGTATTGCAATTCTGATGAATGAAAGAGGTGCTTGTTTTGGATTTATTTTACGCTAAACATTCAGTTTTACCTTTTATTCAATTTTGTTTTCAATTCAATTGATCAATTGACATTAATATATATTTAGATAATATTAAACTTTATAATTTCTTGCAGATATTCAATGGAAACAATGGGATATCAGTCTCAATAAGATATTTTTATGCATGATAAAACAGATTTAAATTCAATTTCAATCATTTGAGAACAGAACCTCATTATCTACAGTATCAACAATTGTTATTCCACTTTCATTTATTATGAAAAGACTAGTAAAAGTTTACGAATACCTCATTGTTGCCACAAACTTAGTCTGAGTGGGCTTCAGTTTTTTTATTCACCCAGATTTTCTAAGAGTCAAAAGTTTGTATGTATTTGCCTAGCTTTGATTTATAAGAAATTAATTTCACAAACTTTACAAATAGTTAATCGAAATTTCAGCCAAATCAACTGAAGAGTAATTCTATAGTTTTTTTCTTGAATAAATGTTTGAGTAAATTTTTGATTGATTGACTTATGAACCGATTGAAATAAATCTTTGAATGAATGAAGCACAGAGTTAGGTGAAGCTTACCACAAACCACACCCAATATGGCTGAACCATTTTTGAGATTAGCACTCACAGAAACAAACAAAATATCTAAAAAGCATTGTTTTGTATTCTTTTGCAGTAATAAAGACCCCATCAACAATAGTTGTTCTTGAATATCTTCCATGTTCAGATGGCAGTCGGTTACAATTTTATTATATGTATTGATGAAGAAATTACTAATATTTTAGACATGTCAATGTGAAGAGATTATTTTTCACATATAGTCATTGGGCATACTTGAAGACTGGCTATAAATTAAATCATCTAAAGGAACAATTCGTTCAGGCCAGTCTCAACTCCCTTCACTGTAGGTTAATGGACACCTATCAGAAAACAACTACTCCCCTGGCTAATTATTCAACGTCCTTCGTGGTATTAGCCAGGGGAGTAGTTGTTTTCTGCGTGTCAATCCATTGATCTCTAGTGTAGGGAGTTGAGATTGGCCTGAACGAATTGTTCCTTTAAATGACTTAATTTATAGCCAGTCTTCAAGTATGCCCACTGACTATATGACTCTACTGGCCTTTTGATGATGTGAAGAGATTACTAATTTTTTAGGTATCTTCTTATTTTTTCTTTCAATTTTGTATGTGTTAGAATTTGTGGTTTGAAAATAACAATAAGTTGATAGTTTTTTCAAGTTAGAAAGAATTTTTATTTGAAAGACTCCATTTTAGTAATAAGAAATATTTCATGTGTGAAAACTATTCAAGGTGAGATTCGTCTTACTACCGCCCTGGATGGCTCCACTTTATACTGCTGCCCAGAATGTCACATGGCGTATCCTGAAAAAGAGCTACTAGAACAACATTTGGTGGGTCACACTTTGGAGCGACGGTTTGTTTGCGACATATGTGGTGCAGGACTCAAAAGAAAAGATCACCTGACAAGGCACAAGCAGTCCCATAACCCTGAAAGGCCGTATGTATGTACAGTGTGTCTAAAGGCCTTCAAACGAAAGGAACAGCTCACCTTACACTTTGTCATTCACTCTGGGGAGAAAAGGCACATATGTTCTGAATGTGGAAAAGGTTTTTATAGAAAGGACCATTTAAGAAAACATACCAGATCACATATTGCTAGAAGAGTGAAGGCAGAACTATCACAGCAAAGTAAGTATTCAGCGTATCATTTAGGTAAATATAGTTTATCAAAAATAGAAATTTTTTTGGCAGAAGACAGCACCTCTGTCTCATCTCTCAATTTAAAACATCACCTAGCGATGCATATCTTTACCGACAAAAGATGTGTTGTATTGTTCAATAATTTATTAAGCTCAAGTTAGATTTGGGAAAGAAAGGTTTTGGCTTTCAACTCATCCATCTTCGTAAAAAAACTGAAAAACTCGCAAAAAAACATCCGGAGAACTCAATTTTTGATCAGGTGTGTATCCCATACGTCAGGTGACCTGATTTTGTCAAAAATCTGTTAATCTGTTACGAGGATGCTTTCTATGGTACTCCACTAAACATACGTAGCAAAAAAATATAATATTATCAAAAAAATATTTCACTATTTTTTACAACGATTATCATATTTCTAGGTACAACTTCTCAAGGACTGCATCTTCAGGTGCCTGCACCTACTAATACAACAACTACTAATAATAATAGTGCAGGTATAATTTCATAAATTTTGCAGCAATTTTCAATTTTTGTTGAAAATTCTAGTACTCAGTGTGATCTTGAACAATCGATTGGCGTGGTAAATTTTGGCTGTGATATTTTTCATTTAGTCTAGGCTAGTCTGTAGATCTAATCTACTTTAAATTTGATTATGACCTTATTATGTCGAGGTATAAGATATAAATTCGAAATTTACTGTTATATTTGGAAAAAGTTGAATATTTTTGTTGTTGACAGTTGAGTACTAGAATTGAAAATTCAGAGTATGAGTTACAAATCTCTAGTCCTTTTGAGACTACCTCATTGCTAATTATTGTGATAAAATTTATAAGATTTATACTCCCAGATATATATACTCTGTTTTATGAGTTTGTTTTTTATGGTACATTTGCTTCAAAAGTATAGTACAAATATTGTTATGTGTTTTATTTTAAATTTTTTGTTTTGCAGTTGATAATGTAGCAGGTGTTCTCATTTGTCTTTTTTTAAGCACTATTTATATACTCATTTATTTTATTGGATAACTGTGTAATGAGTTGCATTTTTAATTATTATACAAAGAAATCAGCTAAGAAGGACCTTTTTTATCTATAGCCCTAGGTTATTGAAAAGGATTTTCAAAATTCTAAAGTAAGCGATCGACAGTGAAAACAGTTTTGTGAAAATTTCCTTTATTAATTTTAAATATTCCTTAAAGATAGATTTTATGGTTCGTTTGAATTTTCAGAGATACTAATATAGTTATTTTCATGTAGAGCCAAAAAAGTATTGTGGCTTCAATTTGAAGGTGAGATGTATTTTTGGAGATATTGACTTTGTATTTTCATAAAAAAACTGTCTCTCTTCACTTCAACTATAATGACAAAAATCGGAATCATTTTCCATTTAAATAATTAGATTCTGTTACAGGTTGATTAATCGAAATCATTTCATTATAATAGGACTCAAAATCTAGTACTTGGTTTCTTTTTATTATATTCTATCTTTTACCATTTATAAATTTATCTCACTGAACACCCTATCACTTACTTATAATGTCACTTATTTCATATTATCTTCTAAAAAGTAAACCCGAATTGTCAAAATATGTTTTCTAGGCATTTAATGAAGAAAACCTTTGGCACTTTTTGAGTTATAAATAAATAATTTACTATTTTGGTTTTTGAATTTGAAAATGGACAGAAAATGTTGCACAAAGAAGCATAGCTAGCATAACTTTTCAATGTAGATTGGAGTTCATAATTTTATAGATTTTACTATGAATTATAGTAATATAAGAATAAAAAAGGCAAAAAATATAGTGGGTGATTGATTGAAGCATGAAAAACAATAGTGACCTTATTCTTTACATTGCTGAATACTATGCTTGAAAAGCTTTAATCTCAATATTCTTGGGCCAAAAGATGAATCGTTGTGAAACTTATTTTGCTGGAAAAAATTCCCAGTGTCAGTTAAAATGAATATAATTATGAATAAATGAAATGAAATAGATTTTTCTATCAATAACTTCGTTTCAGGTTTGATAATCCGATACAACTGTTCATAATATGAAATAGGATACAACTGATTGAATAACCTCAAATTCAATCATCAGGTGATACATGATCTTTGAATAATTTTCATAATATTATTTTTTCCGCCGAAGTTGCCGTAATATTTTCAACCCAATACCACCTGTTCAACTGAAGTTATGAATTTATTTCCTTTGAACTCCAAAAAATTTCCTGCCAACATTTCAAAAAGTTGAGTTTGGGCTTATACTTTGTTTTCCACTCTTTGAAAACGTTGGTGATGGCTTATATGAACATATTTCATGTGAGACTTCACATATGCATCAAATTTTTTTATTTGATCAGTTCATGGTAGTCCATTTTGTTCCAGTAAAATTGATATTTCTATAATTTCAGAGGCATGCTAGAAACTATTACAATTAATCTTGTATATGAAATATTATGCAGTATTAATAATAAAAACTCACCTTCAAAATATTGTAATAAGTTATTTGTAATTCTCCAGTGTTCATGAACAATCATTAAATATGTTTTTTAGATCCTAACAATAAAGTAATAGTACAAATTGGACAGAACGAGCAATGTATTTTATATTTTCGAATCATAAGATACCAATCCACATAATAAAATAAGTAGAATATACCAAGAAACAAAGTGTAAATATCGTAAGAATCTTATTTGATTTGAATGATTGATTTGTTTCAAAAATATTACCTTTGGCTATTATTATCATCCGTTCTACTTATTTTTTATATCTATTGTAAAAAAAGTTTATTTTGGAAAAGTTATAATCGTAATTGAAATGCTTCCTATGTATGTACATTTGCTTTGTACATTTGTAACTCAAGAAATACATGATATTAATAGCTGAACAATTGATTTTATTTGTCCTTAGACGTTATTTTTTAAATTTTGATTTTCTTGCTACACTTTTTGGATACTCTCTTGTTACTAGTGAAAATACATTTAAATAGTTTATATACAATATTCTTTGAAAGACATTTTTCATTTCCCACTGTTTTGTTGGGTGTATAACCTTCTACAATGTCAAAAATAAACAAAGTTAACTCGATGGAAAATCTGTAATAAAGAGCAAACTGAAAAGTTACTCTGTAATATAAACCACTGAAGAATCCAATTAGTCAGTAGCATGTCGTAGTGATAAATTTCACCTACAAACCGAAAACATCAATTGAAGAGAATACAATTTTTATGCTTAGTTCTCTTTAGTGGTTGACGTTTCGAAAAACAGTTTTTTTCAGTTGTTAAAACCCAAAATTCACTTGAAAACTTTCACCTCAATTGTGAATAGCTGTTTCATTGAAATATGTCAAGAGAATGCTTGAAGACAGGCAGTAAACAAATCTAAAGAAATGAACTTTAAACGTTCAAGCCCGTCTCGGAAATACCTACACAGTAGGTTGAATGGACTGACGCCTATCAGAAAACAACTACTCCACTGGCTAATACCACGAACGGCTCTGTAGGAAAACACATAACCGGAGAAGTTTGTGGAAAGAGCTCCTAATGAAAATGGTAAAAGCAATACACATCATATACGGTTTCAACAATCATCACAAACCCAACAATGCAAATACTTCACAACTAACCCTCCTGTACTCGGGTAGTGTCTGTGAGACAATTCAGTTCTAATTTTCATTGCTAAATCTACAGTTGGTTGTCTATCGCCCCAAACGTTCGTGTAGTTTCGGGATTTTTAGACATCGGCACATGGATTAAATGGTTAGTTTGAGTCAGATCGTGACAGACTTCTATTGTCGAGTATTGGCGTAAGCAAATTATCTGATGAGAGATTTGTGATTTTTGCTGTTTTTATTCTACTTGGTGATATTAAAAAAAACATGGATCCGTATTTGGAAGAACTTCAAAGACTGCAAACATATGATGAAGTTTCAACTGATGATGAGGTTCAACATGAGGATGGCGAGCCAGAATCAGATGTGGACCGTTGTGAATTGGGTGATCACGATTCCAGATCTAAGGAAAGTGCAGATGAAGAGCTTGAACATGGAAATAGTGAATAAACAATCTATAAGCGGAGGTAATACGAGTTTATTTTATGAATGTAAACGTAAAAAAGAAAATCATACAGAAGTAATAAAGTGGTCTAAACACGCACCTATGACTAGTGTTAGAAATAGACGTCAGAATATTGTGACACATTTACCAGGCACAAAGGGAAAAGCAAAGAATATTACAAATCCATTGGAAAGTTGGTCTGCTTTCTTTACCATCGATTTGCTTGAATTGATCGTCGAGAGTACAAACATATATATAGCAACAGTTGCACCAAAGTACAAAGACCCACTGGATGTGCTACCTACAAATATTGTAGAACTGAAGGCTGTCATTGGGATTCTCTACTTGATGGGGCTTTATAAACATTGGAGAAAAAATACCAAAGACTTTTGGGCTGAAGATGGCTCAAGCCTCGAAATTATTCGTGCAACAATGGCCCATCGCAGATTTACCTTTTTATTGTCTTGCATACGATTTGATGATGTTCATACTAGAAGTGAAAGAAAGAAGACTGACAAATTGTTCCCCAATTGGAACTTTTTTGAACGCTTCATATAAAACTGTAAGGACTGCCACACTCCAGGTTTCTATGTGACATTGGATGAAATGCTGTTTACATTCCGAAGACGCTGTGGCTTTCGCATGTACATTCCCAAGAAACCAGCCCGTTATGGAATAAAAGTGTTCGCGTTGACTGGTGCAAGAACTTGTTATATCGTCAATTTAGAAGTTTATGTTGGACTTCAACCCAATGGTCCATACCAATGGATGAATATTTTAACGATAGCTTTTAACTGACTTGCACATATTTTTTATCTTTATTCATTAAGGAGCTCTCAAGTTGTTACAAGACCTCACATATAATTACAATTATAGTGTTCGTTTCGGATGTTATTATTGCTACCATTTTTTTCTGCTCATCAAAACACATATTTTTGTTGTAGATATGTTTCAAATAATCACAAAAGGTTTTCTTATTCCAAGTTCATTGTAGAAAACGCTCACAGCAATGGAAAAAATATGAATAAGCACCTAAAAATGAAAAAAAAAACTCTCGAAAAACTCTACGATACATAGGGAGACGTGAAAGTTGCTATTGTGTTTTTATTCAACTCAGTCAACCAATTTCCAGGGCCGTAATTTAAAAGGGAATAATTCGCACAATAATAATCGAATATTACCGAAACATCTCGAAAAATAAAATTTAATTTAATTTTTCAGTATGAAGTGAACGTCTACTATCCAAAAACTTCAACAAAAAATACAGGTCCGTATTTAAAAATTCAAAGATGGGGGTGGCCCAAGTCATATGACACCCTGTATAAAAGATTCATGGATATTTTCTGAGAGCCCACTTCAAGTGCTAACAGCAAAATGTGGACAGATTATCAATATGTCTGCGAATAAAGAAGATATAGGCAAAAAAATAATTTGGGATTTTTTGGTTTTTCCTGTATATCTCCAGAACCGAAAGAGCTATATTCGTTTTTTTTACATCAGTGAATTGGTCTCTGAAATGCGCAACTTTGCCATAATTTAACCGACACTCTATCTCTTATCGTTTACGAGATCCCCATGTACAGAAACGAATTTGAATAGCCTTGTATATGATTCGGGAAGAAATGTTACAACGGACAATTGGTTCACAAGCTTGGACATTGTAGAGCATATGGTGGAAAATCATAGGATAACAATTGTAGGAACTATTCGCAAGAATCGATCAGAAACTCCTGCAGAACTGAAAGATATCACATCGATACAAGTATATTGCTCCATGTTTGCATTTCGTAGAAATGCCACTTTGGTATCATATGTACCAAAAAAGAAAAAATATGTCCTTTTAATTTCTTCCATACACTTCGATGACAAAATTGACGCAGCAACAGGAGACCAGTGTAAGCCAGATATGATTACCTGTTGTAATATAACTAAATGCGGTGTTTATTCGGCTGACCAAAAGATGGCTGCATATAATGTAAGTAGAACCACTTGCAGGTGGCCGATGGTTATCTTCTATAATATGCTCAACATCGCAGGAGTAAATGCTTTTGTAATAAGTCATAGCAATGTCCCTCCCCCAGAAAACAATTACAAACACCGGAGGTTATTTTTGAAAAAACTTGCTTACGACTTAGTTATGGAAAATCTAACTAATCGAGCAATTAATCCACATACCTATTAGAAAAGATATCAGGGATTTGGCGCTGAAGCTCTCTGGTACGACCACTCTGCCTCTGCGAGCAAGTCACGAAAATGAACATGGACGTTGTGCTTATTGCAGAAATCGAAACATGAGATATTTTTGCAAAAAGTGTTCAAAATGGATGTTTGGAACAGGTTAATCCATTTTGTAGAGATTTCGAAAATGAAAGTTACGAAAATCAACTTTAATTTTGATTAATTTACTTGTAGTCTAATTTTGTCAAGTTATGCAGCAAGTAGAAAAAACGGGTGTTATTTTTTGTTTTGATTAGATACACCTTTGATTCTGTTAATCAATATATCAATAAACAATTCTGAATGAAAAGTTTTTTTTGCTTTATTCATCTCATTATGTTTTTAAAAACTGAAAAACGTGTCTGACAGACACCACCCAAGTGTGCATACTACTTTGCTTCACCCGAGTGCAGGAGGGCTAACGACATACCTTATGTTCCCGGTTTGTCTGAGAAATTGAGACTCATTAGTTATAGATATAACGTAAGAACAAAATACGGTTAAAAAATCGAAAAAGTGTATTTACTATACACTTTGTTCCTGTGAATCAAATCAAATTAATTCATCATTTTTGATACAAGAATGTATATATGACACGTCACATTTTACAAAAGATATTTTATCTAATATCACTTATATCAATAACAACACATATTACACAAACATATTATTTTCATACTCTTTCAGGGAGTAAAAACAACTTGTTACCAAAAAAGTCTTTGACTTTTTCTTGAATTTGAGAATATTTGTTTCACTTCTGATGCTGTGTGGTAATCAGTTAAAATATTTTGCCCCGGCATAAAGTGGCGAACCTTTGTACTCATTACGGTTTATTTTTTTCTGATGGAAGTCGTTTCTCCGTCTCGTTTGATGAGAGTGAATTTCCTCATTTCTTGTTAGCAAATGGGAATGTACATGAACGTAGTTTAATATTTTGTGTAAAGATAAATACATGGTAATGTGATTTTTTTTTGTCTTGGAATGTCTTCTTTTTAGATTCTCTGCATTTGAGATCAAAAATTATTCTAATGAAACGTTTTTGCATTATAAATATTCTATTTATTTCTGATGAGTGTCCCCAAATGGTAATATTTATATTCAGTTTAGAATACACTAGACTACTAGACCATAGTATATATCCAAGAGATTATGTCTCAAAAATTTTGATTTCATTGTTGAGAAGGCAAAATACGTTTTTTTCAGAGAAGTGCACAAGTATTTAATGTGATTATTGAAAGATAATTTATTGTCAAGTTGTGTTCCAAGTAATTTTGTATATAATGTTGTTTCAAAACCTAAATTTATTTGGAGAGGGCGCTGATACTTACTTGAAAACTGAATAAATGTTGTTTTATCTTTATTATTTATTAAATGATTGTTTCTACACCAACATTCGAATTCATTGATGACTAGTTTTGTTTTATTTTCAATTTCATTTAGATCTGGGGACGTCACAATGATTGTTGTGTCATCGGCATACATGAAAACTCGACCCTCTTTTATGTTTTCGGGTAGTTCATTAACAAAGTAAAAATAATAGTGGTCCAAGCACCCCTTCCTGTGGGGTCTCCAGATTCATATCAAATTGACCTGAATAATTGTCGTTGACTTTAACGACTATTTTCCTATTACTCACATAAGATTCAAACTACTTATTGATTGACCCTCTTATCCCCATTTTATAGAGCTTTTTACTTAAATACTTCGGGTTGATTGTTTCAAATGCTCGGCTTAGAGCAAAAAATATACACTACTAAACTACAAATATTCTAAAATTATCTGGTTCACAGTATAAAATGGAGTGAAACATAAATTATCAACTGAGAAACTCATTGAATAATTAGAAAACTCAAAGAATTCGCATACATTCTTTCAGCAGGTAACAAGTGTATTTCAAATAGCTCTGTGGAAATTGAACGTAACTGGTTGAAATTGCTGAGATGAGAGGTTGAAAACAGAAATATGATATCTATTCATATAGACTATCGCATGAGATCTGGACGTTTCATTCTTTTGACGTATGTCAAAATAAATATAGCTATTCACAAATGAAGGGAAAGTTTCAAAGTGAATTTTCATTTATAAAAACATTATTTTCCGAAACGTCAACCACTAAATAAGTTTTTTTTTTTTAATTTGTACGCAACATTTATGAATACGACAGGTTACTGACTCATTGGACCTCTTCAAAGGTTTATACTACGCAGTAACGGACGCTTCGACGTGGGTGCTTTGTTCACTCACTCAAATCGACCATCGTGTTGGTGGCTGCTTCAAGCTCCAGGCTGAACGATCGATTTTCACTTGCTATCGTCCAACCCGTGTTAGGAATCACACGTTAAAAGGTAAGACCTCGTTAGTCCTCAACTCGCACAAGTTTCGACTTTTGAGNGCAGGGTAATCAGAGAAACTCCAGGAATATTTAAGCGACTACGTAACTCAATGCGCCGAGTCTAGACGCATGCGTAATGTCTGAAGGTAGACATATTGAACATTTACTATGATTTCTACATGTTGTGTGTTTTGTTATTAATAAATTAGTTTTGTTTATTATATAACATATAACAATAAATCCAGTTCACATTTATGACGATGTATCTCTGTATAAGTTCGTAAAATAATTTTTTGCTGCAAACTGGTTTATTTTGGGCGAAAAAACCAAGCCTGTTCAGAATGAAACAGGCTATCGGAAATACATTTTTGAATGGTAAACAAATAATAAGACAAAAAGTTACATTGGAAATAAATGTTACGGGTTGCGTTTATACCCCTTTATACAACCATGGGGTAAACCAAATAAATCACTAGCTAAGTGTCTTTTTGGTAGTACAAAACGTCAGGTTAATTTCAATATTGAACCTTTTTTAAGTGCTTGTGAAAAAAATTGTTATACAAATTTTATGTAACCCCTGTATCTTAAGAAGGGATGTTCCAATGAAGTTTCTTCATATGAAAGATACTATTTTTTTTTTGATGAGGAATCACCTTAAATGTTTTACACTTATTCTGTTACACCCTGTATAAAAGAGAATTAGTTATTTTTCCCTAATGCAAAAAACAAAAAAAAGATAAATTTTATGTCAATTGACATAAAATGCCATCTCAAAGTTGCTCCAACATTTGGGCACTAAAATGAAAAAACTTGCATGAAATATAGTGTGAAACTAGTGATCTAACCTGGTTTTGCAATTTATATTTGTTATTTTTCATAAAACATATTTCAGGTCTTGATTAGTAGAATTTGAAAACTCTGGCATAAAATTAATCGGAAGAAAACACTTTTTCCTCACCTGAACTATATAATTGTCTTTCTATGCACGTTTCGCTAAACAAGTTAGTATCATGAGTAAGATTCAGTCAAAAGAAGGTATTTTTGTTCTGGTGAGGGAAAAATGTTTTCAATGGTTTGGGTCCACACTTAACACATTTATTTATATAACAACTTCTGTTCCTGCGACTCCTTCCTTGTGACCTACAAGATATAATTCAGATTATTTTCAGGTTTTCATATCTACTCAAATGTCTTTTACTATGAAGAAAATCAGAGTTTCTTTATTGGCATTTTTGGGAATTTTCACCTTCTACAATCTGCATAATCTGAAAAAAAGCTGAATGAAGAACTTTCAATAGGTGTATAATATAACCTGTCTTTTTTATCTCATACACAGCATCCTCAGTAACTACCTTGATATATGAATTTATATCAAGCAAATATCCACTATTATCCACAGGAAAAATGAAATAACAGAAGTACACGTATTTTGTATTTATCTAGAGATTGTTCTACACTTTCCACAAATCACAAAAATCAAAATATGCACAAACATTGTTATTCTAATTGATTCAAAATGATAAAACAAACAATATTGTCAGTTTTCTTTTCAGAATCGAATAGGTATAAAATCGACATCACACAATATCATTAAAAATTTACGAACAGAAATTATAATTCCTATTACCTAATAAAATTCAGAAGTGATGGTTTGTTTGTATTAAAATCGAATAACTAAAACTTATTGTACAGAAAAAAAAGGCAAATATCCTGAACTGATGTTAATACTGTGTTGCAGGAATATTCAAAAGTAATGCATCCCATTCTCTATTTGGTTTAATATTTTTCATACTGATAAATAAATTCACGAGGCTAGCATAAAATGTTCAGTAGATTTCAATGGAATGCTAATTAACAATTTTTTACATTGATACAAAAGACTAGTTTTACTATTTTTACAAATTGATGAAAGTGATGCAAGACCTAGAATAAAAAAAAAAAATATTGGAGTGCAAAATAATATGACTACTACTGTAAAATTTCCAAGTAAGTTCTGAAACAAGCCAGAGGCCAAAGAGTCATCTTAAATTTTATAAAAATCCCTTAAAAATAATGTTCACGTCATCACATCAAATATACAAACTAATTATCAGCAAGGTTAAGCATAATCACTGGCGACTATAGGAAAAATCCCGCTTAATAAAAGTGTCGAAAAAAGTTTGGAAGAACTAACTTTATCTCCTTACCAATCAATCATTATATTTTGGCAATGAATTTACATATTCCTAAGAAAATCGTCTTCAAATAAAAACAAAATATAATTTGCCATACACTATTCTCAAAAAAATACCCATAATATATACAAATAGAGGTGAACATAATAAAAGCTGAATTACACTGACACCATTTCTTTTATAAATATCATAGTGACAGCATCTTTAATAATTCAAAAATAAATAAAAGTTAGCAAACTCCTTACGACCCTTTTGATTGAAATATAAGAGTGAGATAGAATTGACCGACTTTCAGGTTGTTAAAAATGAGGTATTAGCTTTCACGGAAGATGCTGCAAAAAATAATAAGACATTAATTTTTATCTATAACTATTTCTTCCTTATTATGCACATCACTTCATCTAGATTGTGATAATTTTATTATAACTTTCATTAGTGATCTACAATTTACCACCACGAAATTAAGGCTTCGATACTGAATGAGGGATTTAACTACTACTTAAATCCCTCTTCAACACTGCCAGACTTCAACACAACACTTCAAGCGAGAGTTTACTTTAATTTTTCAACTCAATGTCTTTTCTGGGCCTATGACAACCTCCCATTTCCTTCAAAGCCATTTAGGACGCTAGAACAGAAAATTGACTTAACAGAAAGAAAAAAAAAACATTAAATTTCTACAAGGAACAAGAAGCTAACAAAAATTAAATAAATGTCATTGAGAAGTTCTCAAGAAAAAATGTTTTTGAAAACATTTAATCATTTACCAAAATATCCAAATGAATGAACAAAAACTCTCCTTCCGATGTATGTTATTAGATCTTAAAATAACTCCACCTGTAGTGTATATTTTTAAAACCATCGATTCACATGTGATTTCTGTTCCTGAAAAGTTTGCCTAGATATTAATAAAACATTTGCGATATGATTCATTCAACTAATAGGTTAAAACTCAAGTCGTCTTATCTACCTCACTCAAAAAATGTAATGATTTGTTACACCCTTTTTTAACGTTTGTTGGAAGTATTTAAAATTGGGTTTGGTGACACCTAAAATCTAAAGAAAATCATAAATAGAGAAGATAGAGATACCTAAAAAAAATTAATTAGATGCCGTTCGAGCATGTATGGTAAGTCCTTGAGCTTCACTAAACTAACTAACCTCATTTATAGGCCGGAATGTACACAAAAAAAGGCTGCAATTGTAATGGATGTTATTACATAATTCACTAGTTCACTGACCAGAGAATCAAGATGCATTCAGTCAATAATAATCGTTAATATTAAAGTTAATAATGATTATGACTACTTAACATGCTCAAAAGAGCTCATTTGTGTTCTTCAACTAAGTTAAATGGATTCAACTAATTACCTTTTCATGATAAGCCTTCTGAAAATGTTCAAAGTAAACAAAGATATTAAATATATCAGTCTTATAATAGAAGGAAAATGTACATAAGGTTGAAAAAAAAGTGACTACGATTTTGGAGTAACTCCTTCCAGTATTCATGGAATCACTCGTTTCTTATGGTATCACTAAATTGAGATCTACAGAACATTATAACGAACAGTGAACAAGTATTTAAAAAAAACCTTATCATCTTATTCAATTTACACTAATCTGTTGAGTTTTTCACATTACTGCAGCGTTATTAGTACATAATATAAAAAAGTAGAATACATGTATAAATGACTAGGTTGAAATAATATGGTAGCCATAAAAATAAATTCTGTTACAATATTGAGAGAACATATTGAATGATTGTTGAATAAAAATTATGAGAGATATTTCTATTTCGTAAGATTGGTATAGAATGAAGTTTAAATCCATGTTGGGCAAATATTTGTATCAACTTCGGGGATACACTTAGCATTAAAAAGTAGTAATCATTGTTTAATCCAACTCTACTTCATAATGAATTACTGAATATGTGTACACATTGTGAGAAATGACAAATAATTCAAAGAAATCTCAGAGTATTTAATATCTTATGATATACACAAATACAGAGTACTTTTACTGTCCAAAAGTTGTTCTGTGGTACCTCATTCAATGCATTTGCTACTAAGCAAATCCTGGAATTTCTTGTACAGTATTCCCGATTCGTTTTTTTTTTCAAGGAAAAATAAGTTGGCAGACATGGCTGATACTTTGTTATAAATAGCATAGAGAATTGAAATACATAATATTTGATTGAGTCTCTTGATATTCTACTGTTGAGCTAGCCTCTCTTAGTAAATATATGTAACCATTAAGTTGTTTTCCGTAGAAAAGCTTACTCAAGTTTTACATATAACCTGTATAACTACCCTTTGTGTATTCAGTTAATTTTTTTTAACTTGGTACCACTGCTAAGATTTCACATTAATTTTCATCAAATCAAAATATGAATGTAAACATACAAATTACCACACATTTAATTTTATTTCAATATAGGCGCTGCTATTGAAAAACAATTGTGTGAGGTATAATGACTACTTTCATTTCATTTATAACTAAGAATATCTTCCAAATGAAAATATTTTTTGTCTCATATCATAAAATTTTCAAACATGTCTCACGGATAGCTTAAATGCCTATGTTGAAACTTTATGACCAGCATGTGTCAAACATCGGAATAATATTCACTGCCACATATAATTTCATTCAAATATTTTTTCCTGAAATTGTACAGAAATCGAAAAATCCAAAATTTTCCTAAAAGCATGTGTCACTTTTAAAACAATAGAATATGATTAGACAAATCAAGTAACACTAATCAATGTGGAACATTGATACCAATACGAAAACTATTAAAATCCCAATCTCATCTTGAAACCCAATCACTCAGTTGAAACATCTTTCATAACTTCAATCTGAAAAAATAATAAAAAAATATTGCGAGACAAATGATACAGTTGCAGCCTTTCCTCAAATCCGGCACCTAATAATAATCATATTATCAAAGTTCAGTCACACGTCCAAATAAATAAAACTACACTACTGCCGATATACCGTCGGCATTGTTACACCGTTTCCGGGTTTCACATAATCCCCAATCATCAAGCTAGTACTGACTGGATAGTTCGTCATGACAAGAGGCTGCTGTTGGTGTGTTGGGGAGGTGAAGAGAGATGGTGAGATGGCACCGCCAATAAGTTGAGCTGTATGAGTTGAAGTGGGGCTGGCTGCTACCCGACCTCGTCCAGTACTGGATATACACCCTGGATGAATGTTGGGTTGTGATGCATCTAGTGTGAGAGAATGAGGTGATTATAGCATGTGATGTTATGAAATGATATCATGAAAGCTTTCAGCAGTTAGGTAGTTTTAGCTAATTGATACTCATTCTAGAATTCAGTATCACTATTTTTATTCAGGTTTGAAGGCCGTTGATTTTTGGAATTTCTGCCTGACGTTTCGCTGGCGCGAGTGGCTAGCTTCTTTGGAGTTTATCTCCAATGAGTCTTGAAAAAATTTCAATAATCGAGGGTCTTCAAACCCGAATAAAATAGTGACACTGAAAATTTTGTTCGCGGAAGCCTTAACAATTTTGTTGTTCTAGAACTTTTCACTGGTTTTGTTTTCAGATTTCTGTCATTTTTATCTGTCTATTCAATATCAATGAAACACAAGTATAAGGCCTTTGTTAAACCCTGAAGTTCAAATTTTAACGGGAGAGATGAGCAAATCAGGCAAAGGAAAGATGTATGATTATTTATGAAGTTATAACTTTGAAAGTGATTTTTTATACTGCAAAAACATAACCTTGGAAAGCTTTTGATTATACAATGATTGTACTCTTAAAAAAAGACCTTGAGGGTTTCGATCATATAGTTACCGTCATCAATAGAGCATATGATCACGTGATTAAAAACACAAATAATACTATTGAGTGAAAGTTCAAATGAAATTTTGCTCCTAAAATGTAACCATAGACTGTCAATTGTCAGTTTAATGAAACTGAGGTTAGGAATTATATGAGATACATTTTTGTTTCGAACACATTTAGCATTATACATGTTGTATTTTCATGTATCTGTGCTATAAAATGATCTATAAAATATTGTGTTTCAATGTATACTGCTGTATCCTTTTGAATTTTGTTTAAAATATATCATGACTGCCAGGGGACAAATTTACTTTACTTGAAAGCAGAATAAAGACGCATTGCATTCGCATTGCAATAACAAAGTGTAAAAAGTTTTTGAAAATGTATTCAGTGTTAAACCCAATATATGAATAAACAAAATTGAATATTTTGTTTTTCCTATATCTGGTGAAGTAAGAGGGCTACCTCAGATGTTTTACTATCATTATTGAAATGCTTCATAATGAGCAACTTTGCATTCATTTAACCTCTTTTATGTCCCTGACTGTTTTCGAGACCCCATTTTATCATTTCAATTTCACTTCTAGCCCAGTGAATTCAGGGTCTATAGAGCCCAAATGGAAATTAGAGTAGTGGGTTTTTCAACATTTTTGCCAGATATGTGCAAAAGGTATGATTTCTATAGCACTGAACGACCATATCAATCTCGGCACCAGCACACTGACAAAAGAAGAACAAGTTACACGAAAATAGTTGAATAGTTATTAGGCTCACCAGGGGTCTAACCAATTGAAGGTCTTGAATTTTTGGAAATTTCGTAACGCGAACCTGGATTTGCGGAATTTTTGGACAGCGGCTCAGGCAGTGTACTACTACTATGTGTGCGCAGATAGTGAGGAAGTACAGTCCTCATAGGGAATTTTTCCATAAGCTAAACACAGAGTTTTAGCTGTGATTCCTCTCAAAAAAATTTAAAAATTTTCATTTTCAGTGTTTAACTTATGGAAAAAGCAAAATGGCGGAGAGGACTGTAATTCCTCACTATCTACGTACGAGTAGGTACGGGCTCTCAGTGTCGGAGATCGAGATTTTTTAAATGACAGATTTCTATGTAAAACATCATTATAACTGTTTTAAATTCACTAGTATTTGAAAAATTAATTAATGAAATCCCCATAAGACTTTGTGGTATATCCCCAAAAAATTTGGGAGATTGCAATAATCAATTTCCCGAATAGTTACTAGTGCAACAGTTGTATTGGTCACAAATAATGTTTCAGTAATAATACTTTAATTTTGGATTTTAACAATCCGGATCTCCTACATTCTGGGGTAAGGATTTGTGGGTTTCAAGCAAAGTCTCAATGTGCAACATATGGAAGTTTATAAATGTTGCACATTGAGACTGGCCTGAAACCCACAAACTCTAAACACAGAGTGTAATCGGCTTCTGTTGCAGGTATGGGCAATAAAAAAAATTACAACGGCATTATTTGAAGACTTACAATATTTGTAATGAGGTAAAGTACAGTGAAGAATTTTGTTATTACTTGGGACTGTTTGGTTCTAACTTGGTTTTCGACGGTATCAAGCTTTTTGGCTGTATTCATTGTCTCTGAACTTGCCTTTGTCGCCCCTTCCAGAAAGGTGGCGGCTATAGCAACCTTAGTTAGGGAATGTGTTTTTAATGCCGTTTTTAGTTGCTTTTTGCCTCCTCAAATAATTTGTCTTCTATCTTCCTTTTTGCAGCTTGGTTCTTCTTCAACTCCTTTATTTCTTCCTCTCCAGTTTTCAAACCACTCATCTTAGTGGCGATT